TCTCCCTTGACCTCTTCCGGGAAGAGGACGACGATGATGTCAGCCACACGTCATCCGACGGTGAAATCCCTATTTCCCTTCCAAACGATCGAAACCCTAATTTGGCGAGTTCCCAAATTGAGGGTAATGGGAATAATGATAATAGGGCAATTGATCGCCGCTCCGTGCATATTAGTCCCGAGGCTCACGTATCATCGCAATTTTATACTTTCAATAAGGAATCCCATGCTTTGATGATCCAGTGCTTGATTGAAAGCCGGCTTGCTACACCGGAAGAAATCCGGGCTGTGACTCCGACGGCTGTGCTTGCCAGTTGGCGGTCCGTGTGGAAGGACCGTAACGAGGATACTGCCTACTTGACCGCCTGGAAGCGGATCCAGGACAAGCTAACAGTCCAAGTTGCGGACACCGCCTCGGCTTCTGCTGCGGCTGGTAATAATAATTTCCTCTGCTTCAAGAATAATTGTAATCAATTTGTTTCCCATAGAGATCAGTGGCAGGATATAGTCATGTCATTTCATGGTGATGCGGATTTAAAACACTTGGGACTTAAAGAAACCGTGGAGAGAATCAAGCAGGTGTGGACTGTGGGTGCTAAATTTTATGGTATTCCAGAGAGTTATATTAGGACATATGTAGCGTCCTGCCCAGTATGCTTGGATGAATCTTCTGGGTGTGCGCCTCGCTCAAAGAGGCGCAGATTTGAATATACAGAGTCTTTTGATGTGCCCGCCAAGGAAGTGCCCGTTAAGTTGCAACAATTGGCTGCTAAGCATAAGGTGGTATTGTGCATAAGACAGAAGTATATTAGGTACAAGCCTTTTATGGCTGAGGTCAAGGATTACGCTTGTCATAGGGCAGGCGAGCCTGCATCTAAGAAATCCCGGATTTTGAAACGGGAGCCCTATGCATCAAAGAGGTGCGGATGTGGGTTTCGGATTCGGGCGATAGTTCCAATATCAAATTATAACGAGAAGGATAAGACATTTGTCTATGAGGATGAGGGGACAGCTGTGTTTAAGCTGTATGCGGTGCATTCAGGGCATGAGCCAGGGCCACTGGATGGGAATGCGAGGATAATGCATCGAATGGTTGGACATAAAGGGGGATTTATGATGGACCATGATACACTGTTTGGAATGTCTGAGGAAGGGGAAAATGAAGATATCAGGTTCCTGGGAAAGAATACTGGGGACATACAGCATTTGGCTTTGCAGAAGGTTCAGGAATTAAGGAATGAGTTAGGGTTGCTTGAAGGGAGAATCATGACGATCCAGCCCTCACTGTTAGGTTCTTTGACAAATGAGCTCTTTGACATTACCCATAAACTTAGAAATATAACAGAAGATGGCTCAAAATCGGTAGGGTTGCCTTCAGAGAAGCAGCACCTGGATGATGTCTTGGTGGTAGAGCATGATTTGCCAGATTGGTGTGATGATCATCGTCCACAGATCTATGGTGATGGCAAAGATGCTGATGTTATTGAAGATGATGAGGACAGCTTTGGGCGAACTCTTGGGGAGGTTGCATCTTGGGGTCGGATGAGGACTGAGAGTAGGAACGAGAAGAATTTGCTAAGTGAGACTTGTAAAGAAGAGAAGTGGTTAAAATGTGGCCAGTTCGATGAGAAGGATATGCTGTGTGATTCGAAGCTGATCAAGCCCTCAAGGCATGAGGAGGCCGTGGATCCAGATGTAGGTCTTGCTAGTATACAGGTGGACAGCTTCTATCCTGAAAATTCAAAATGGTTTGACTTTCCTTGTAGATTAGACCCTGATGCAGATTGTGGCAATGGTGGATTTGAGCATGGATAGATCTTGTAGATATTAGTTATTTTTGTGAACCCACTTAGCTTACCGCTCATCCTTTGCTCTGTTGGAAGTGGGTTGTATATTCTGTGCGCAGAACTTGAAGCCTTTACATCACTGTCAATCTGTTGGCACCTTCATTGACTGTAGAGTATTCAATTTGGCACTTATTGCATATACTTCTAATGCCTTGTTATTGGCTTTTAACATTGAACTTGATTGTTCTGCTATGCACCGTGATTGGCATTTCTTATTTTGCTCTATTTTGTCCACTATTGTTCATGCTTCTCTGATAACAGTTTTGTTGCTTACAGATGCTTCTATTTTTATTGTTGCTGATGTTGTATTAGTAGTGCAGTCATCGAAGATAGCTTATTATATAATCATTTAATATATGAAGTAGTACATTATCCCATCTACTCTTAGGCGATTTAGTAGCATTTTGTCACCGTAGTCGTGCTAAAATGAAAATCATGAATGGGATATCATTTGACACTTTTAAGTCACGTCAGGCTAGTCTCAGATACTAGCTTCTTGTGCTCCTCGTTATGTACCACCACGTGAAGATTTTAGAGATGAGTCGTATGAGTGTTTGTTATTTGGAATCCAATATCGGTACTTGATTAAAAGGAGAGATCGTCCTCCTTGTTTGGATCATATTCTTAAGGATAAGTTTTCATTTTCATTGTTATCAGTTGTTGAGTTTTGATATTTGGTTTTTTTGAAAGATTGTCTACTGTGGTATGAGTTCAGAGACTTAACTTGGAGATTGATGGTAGCTCTTTTGTGATTTATCCACTTGACAGGGTCGAGTTCTTCTTCCACCCCGGGATAATTGATGAGAGCATCACCCTGTTTGGCCATCTTATTTTGTTTTGGACTATTTAACTTTTGCTTTATTAGTTGGGTTTGTATTATGGGCGGCCCAAGTCCCATAACCATTAGGGCTATTTTTGTTATTTATATGCTTGTATTGAACTTCCAAAGATAGATGATAAATGAATGATAAAAAATTGCTTGTTGATCAACTTTATTCTCTTCCCCGGCTTCTTCTCCCACTGGTCTTCTTCTCGGGTTTTTCCCCTTTATCTCTGGTTTCTCTCCCCCCCCCCCGCCCCGCCCCCCTACTTCTTCTCTTTTTCTTCTTCCCTGCTTCTTCTTGCTGCGGTTATCTTCGCCTCTGCTGCTTATAATTTCTCTCTTGGAATTCCCAATTGATCCAACATCAGCCATTGAGATATTTTAAAATTGTCCATAAATTTAATGTGTCAATTGATATTATATATTATGAATAATCTCTTCAATTGATTTTATATGTGAATAATCTCATCAATTGATTTTATATATTATGAATAATCTCATTATACCATTGGTACATGTTTTCCTGTCATTATGATGTACCCAGAAAGTTTTGGTAAGAGGCGATAACTGTTCGGAATGGATTGATCATTTGTTTGTTTTGTGAAGTCATTTAAAAATGGCTTGTTTATCTTTTTGTTGTTCAGTTTTATATCTGCTTCAAACTGGTTCCTGAACTATTTTAAATTGCTTTCCTTTCTATCTGATTATTAATATCATAATATGCATGTTCAATATCTTGAAATTGATACCTGCTGGCCATGATTATAGGCTTTCTGGTTAATACTATGCTTCATGTTTGTTACTTACGAGGCCAAATCACCCGTATTTATTCTGTAAAGTTGTAAAATTTTATATTTCTCTTCAATATTAATTTGGCATTTTCTCTTATGAACAGCGAATGATGTACCTGACCTAGGAAAGAGTGTCAGTTTTACTTGTATAGCTCACCTTTCTCCTGGACTGAGGTTACGGATCAATTAGTTACAGTCTCGGTCTAATGTTTCAGAATTCAGTGAGATTTGAGAGAGTTCTAGATACCGGATAGAAAGCCATTTAACTCAATACAGCAAAAATTTTCTTTCGGTAAGTCTGCTAAATAGTAGTCTTTTTCTTTCCATCTGCTAAAGTTTGAAAGACCTGTTCTGTCTATCATGCCTGGCCTGGAATGTTAATGCTCTCTGTTCAATGATCCGCACCCCTCCTTTGGACAATAGAAATGATTTGTACTTTCTTCTAGTTTCTTGATGAGGATTTAGCGTTTTTGATCAATATTTCTTGAAGAGTGTTCACTCACAAAACTATACCCAAGGTATTCATCTTAAAATTAGCTATTATCTGAGGGGAGGGAAGATCAGAGGGGAATTACCATAATTTAACTAAGTGTCTAATCTTCTTAACGTTGTGCCTATTTTGGTTTGAAGCTTTGTTTGACTAGTATGAGCATTGATTCTAATGCAAGGACAGTTCCTGCACATACCTAGATTACTAAAATTTTGTTGATCGTGTTGAATAAAGAATGAACCATTGGGTTTTCTTAAATATTAGATCGAACCAGAATTGTTATAGGAGTATGGAGTTTGATATACTCGCTGGAAAAATTAAATGAAAGCCGATGTTGAATCATTTGGCAAGTTCTAAGTTGCCACCATGGGTTAGCATTTCCTTGAACTGCGTAGAACATCAAGAAAGAGTATTCTCTTAGTTTCTCTTAGTGCTTGGGCTGAAGAATTATTTATCTGTAAGAATAGATGAAACATAACCATAGCTGGTTATTATTAGCCATTGGCACGAGAATATTTATCTATGATCTCTTTTGATGCTGTAGTCTTGTTTCATTTATTCATTTTGCTAGTAAATCCTAATGAGGACACTTGAAATCTTCTGGAATGGTAATTGAACTTGATTTTCTTTTCCTCCTGGTGATATCGTAATGGTGTTTGGATTGCATTATCACTTAATACGGGCATCTTGTTCTAGAAATCAGATTTAAATCTGTTGTTTGGGCTTTAGATTTACTGTGCATGGTTAGGTATGGGTTGGAGTTGTGTGTCAGTTACACGCCTCGTGCTGCTGAACACGCTTTACTGCATTTTCTGGAACTTCCATGTTAATGTGAATGCTATGATGCACCGCACATGTCCAACACGATACGTGACGGATACGCCTATGCCAACACGTGATTTTTAAAAAAAGTATTGACATGACACGTTTTCGACACGTTGATTAAATTTTTTAAAAATCCTCATTTATATAGTATAAATTTAGGTTTATACTTGTTATTAATTTTTTTTTTTGTTGAAACCTTTTAAATATGAGTACCTATTTGTTATTTACTAGTAAGTTTGAGTTAAAAATATAATATTTTTGATAAAGAATGAAAAATGTTTATGGTAGAATGTCCGAGCAGTGTCGGTATCGACACGCTACTCTAATTGAAGTGTCCGTGCTACAGTGTGTGAATGTATTGTGCCTGTCTATTATTCAAACTAAGCACAATCTGTTTCCTCAAATCTTCTGAATTAATCGTGCTTGAAAGTTGCTTCGATTTTGACATGCTTGAAATGACTGAAGTATATCGAATTCTACTGACATAGTCATATATTTCAACGTATTATGATGCTTTTGAGAAAAACTCCAGATTTGTAATAAATTTTCTCCTTGAAATTCTGTGAAAGGTAAGTAGTCAGTGACGTCAATTAGAGGAATATTAGTTAGCTTTGATTATTGCATTGTTTATTGGCATTGCTGTGGAGTAACATGCCCTTTTTGTCATTGGCAAACTGTGTAAATATGTTCATTTCCATTATTTATTTCGGTTTCATTGGCGTCAAGGCAACTGTGGAGATATCGACGCAAATTGGGATAGCCTTGGAGGGAGAAAGAGCAATTGAAATCTTGTACTTTGGTGTAAGAAATTGTTAGTGTTTTCTTATTCTGCTCAAACTGAGATCCTCAGGGTTTTCCTGTGGACAAGATACTCCACATTTTTAATGTATTTTGGCAAGTTGATTGTGCAATGGGGCTATCTACATTCGCAGTTTGTTGGAATCAGTATTTCAATTATCCTTGTATCCTTCAGATTGTTATTCTCCTGCGTTAAACAAAACCATGCCTTTCAGCAGGAAAAAAAACAAGACTGTTTTAAGGCAGAGAGTATGCTTACTCTTGAATTAACTTTCAAATATTGTATATTGTTATGTGATTGGGACAGAATAAGCTTCGGGAACCATTGACAGTCATGTTGGAAGCACTTTTAGGGTCGAACGCAAAGCAGCACAGCTCAACCAGCCATCACTAAAATGGTTTCATCACATGTTCTTCTGGTAGAATTCTATAGAACTCTCTTACTTGGAATTTCCAGGTATTATATACTAATACCTGAACATGCCTTCGCATCCGGTTTCATTGACGATGGTTTGAGAGTATCTGCTTAACGTTTTATCTTGATAGGCCAGCCAATTTAATTTAGGCCCTCTTTGTGGCCTTCAATTTCAAAAATTGGAGTATGGAATAGTGATTGATGTTGAAATGTGTGGTTAAAAAAGAATGAAAAGTTTTTTATTTGTGTAATATTATTTTAATGAAGAATGTGTGGTTGAAAATGAGTATCGTAGAAAAAATAATGTGGTAGAATGTGGGAAAATGGTTGACAAACAAGGGCTTACCTGTTTGTCAAACTAGGCAAGTAATAAATAATCTGTTGATTATAAGATCATTTGTATCCGTCTCTATTAGTCTGTCAAGTTCTTTTGTAAGATTGCAATGTTTTTCACTGTTTGTTGCTGCTTATTGTTTATCCAGGAAAGATGGTCATGTCTGGTAGCCCAATAAAACAGCATTCCTTGAAAGCATCACATTTTTTTGCAATGTATTTGACTATTTAGGGCTGATTGTTTATCCAGGAAAGGAAAACATGTCCAGTGGCCCAGTAGAAGAGCATTCTACGAATACATCAAATTTGCTTAACACTGAATCACAGCTGACGGAAAATCTGCTCTCCTATATCATCCAATTCCAGCTCCTACAGGCATGTACTCTTTCCAACTTCAGTGCAACTCCAGCGAAGAATGTTTCGGCTTTTGACAAGAACAGGGGGATAGATAGAGGAACACAGGAGTACTGCCACTGGTTTGAGTAGTGGTGGATAAGTGGATGGAATTTGTGATTTCAGTGAGAGGTTGGAAGTTGAAAATCTCAAAATTCCTTGAGAATTATGTACTTCGACACAAGAAAATATCAGAATTTCATGTAGGATTAAAGGTGGTGTCCTTGATGACAACCTTGGACTTTTGTAGCAGATTCAAGAATGTTAGTTTGAGAGGTGGCGTGGACCATTTCTACTTAATCTGCTTGTAGTGAAATTCCTCATTTTTATTCCCTGCATTTTTTTTAGTGCTCAGTTTTATCGTATAAACTTTGATAAATTGTAATCACAAAAAGGTAATTTAAATATATATGTTTCCTTTATCCTTACCAACATAGTTATTAAACCTGAACTGGACCGGCCGGTTCGAACCGGAAACCGTTGAACCGGACTATGGTCCGTTTCGAATCAGCTCAGATTTTAACTATGTTGCTGACCCAAGAAAAACCCGGAAGAACCGCTGGTTTTCAATTGAACCGCTGGCCCAATTACAAAAGAAACCGCCCGGTCCATATATATTAAAACCTGACACCAAATTCTCATTCTGATTCAAAATTGAGAACCCTAAGCAAAGCAACCGGCAGCCGTCCTTTGCAACCAGTAATTTCACTCCCAAAAATCCAAAAGCATCAAATTTCAAGTTGTTATTAGATGGAAGAAGAAGATGTAAGTTTAAATTTTGTGATTTTCTTTGTAAATTTCAGTTTTTTGTCCTCAAATTATGGAAACTCAGCAAATGGTTGGACGATTATTCTCAAATAAATAGATAGGTAAAAGTAAAATTTATTGATTTCTGGAAACTGGAAGTTTCCAAGTAATCACATTTTGTAGTTTGGTGTGACTGTACCTTCTCAAACATTTTTTTAATTGCCTATGTACATTATGTTGAAGTTTTACCAATGAAAGTAGAAACCATGTTTGTAACAAGGGAAATGCTATATGTACCAAATCATTTACCAAATAGATGATCGAATTGACAAGTGTCGTGCCCTCATTGGAGTGGATTGGAGGGGCGCCACTTATCAATTCGGTCAAAAATTAGTTAAGACATTTGGTACAAGTAGATTAATTTTTGTAGTGTACAGATTGTGACTATACCTTCTCAAATTTTTTTAATTCTGATTTTGTCTTATTATTCATGTCATTACATTTGACAAATATTTTCGTGTATATATATTTTGAGGAATAATATTATTTGCCAATTGAAGAAAGTGGAAAGTTGTCCTACTTAATTTATCTTGGTCGTCCCTCCCCTTTGTTTGTGATCGAGAATTTGAATTTGTTCTTAACTGCAGAATTGAATTATATTAGTGCTAATTAAATTTTGTTCTTATACTCGAGAGGATGATTATTCTCAAATAACTACTGGTTAACCCATGAGCTCGGCTTGGGCTCGTGGCTCGTGAAAAACGAGCCAAGCTCGAGCCGCTCGCGAGCTTGTATTTTTTTTTTTTTATTTTTTTGGACAAGAGCTCGTGGGCTCGACCAGGCTAGGCTCGTGATGAGCCCGAGTAGCCCACGAGCAGGGTTTTAACGAGCCGACCGTCGGCTCGGCCCGTTTGACATCCCGTAGTTTCAATTTTCAAGTTCTCCATCAGTTTCTGTATTTAATTTGTTTTAGTATTTTTGTTTTTGGATTTTCTATTTGTAAAATTCCAATAATCGTATGTCGATCAATTGTTATTATTCAGTAACTCAGTTAGTTGATTAGCTTTGTAAGTCTGCTTCGATATTTGTTCGGGTCTTCCTCTCACGCGCATTTCCTACAATTGGTCATTAAAAAAGCAATATTTATTTGGCTATGCGTGCAGAATTTGTAGTGGTTTTGAGTAGTTGACTGTAAATAGAATTTGCAGAATTATCAGAAAGTTTATCTTTCTCCACACGATTTGTAGAGGGTCAGAGAGTAGAAAGGTGAGATGGAGAAGTTTTAATATTCGGTTGAATCATTTGGTGTTGCAATTTCTTAATGTTTCCCATTGTTTGAGGTTCTCGTAATGATATATAATTCAATATGTGTTTGTGTCTTTGTATAGTTCATTGGTGATGATAGTATACCACATTGTTCTCTACCAAAAAGTCATGCTAGAGGAAAGACGGATATAGCATGGGGTCATTATAAAGAGAATATTGAAGCTAGTACTAATGGGAAAAAAAAAACTTGTTTGCTTGTATTGTGGAAAGACTTTTGTTGGAGGGGGTATTAATCGAGTCAAAAACACTTGGCGGGAGTAAAAGGTGAAGTAGATTCTTGTCGTAAAGTACCTCCTGATGTTAGATTTAAAATGAAAGAAAACTTGGACACATTTGCTGCAAAGAAGCGTAGAACTCAAGAAGTTCTTGATTAGTGTAATTCACATAGCTCTTATTATCGAGAACAAGAAGAGAATGTATAGAGATTTAGATAATGATGATATTCAAGAGATCATCCCTCCTAGTTCTAAAGGAAAGAGTATAGCTATGTAGACAAGTCAACGAAAAGGAATGTGAGCAAAACATTTAAAACAACAAAAAGGAATTAGTTCCTACTTCATGCCAAGAACGGAACCTGGTAACCAACCTACTATCAAAAGTGTTCTTCAGAGTAAAGAAGCTATAGAAAAATGTGATCTCACCATATCAAAATGGATGATTGATTCATGTATTCCTTTCAATGCTGTGAATTCTGTGTATTATCAACAAAGTATAGATGACATAGCTAGCATGAGCCCTGGCTATAAAGGCCCGAACTTTCCTAATCTTCGTGGTTATTTGTTGGCTAAAAATGTCGAGGAAGTACAGAATTATATAGAAAGCTATCGTTCAACATGGAAGACGACTGGTTGTACAATTATGACAGATGATTGGACAGATCAATGTAGAAGAACTCTTATTAATTTTTTAGTTTATTGTCCAAAAGAAACGATATTTTTAAAATCCGTAGATGTTTTAGATGAATCAAAAAGTGCTGACATGTTATACAAGTTATTTCGAGATGTTGTGTTATTTGTAGGTTCAGAATTTGTGGTCCATATGGTGACGGATAACGCTGTAAATTATGTTGCTGAAGGTAGGTTATTGGAGCAAGAGTTTCAAACATTATTTTGGTCTCCATGTGCAGCCATTGTATTAATTTAATGTTTCATGATATTGGTAAGCTGGATGAAGTTAGTAATGTCATATCTAAAGTATCACAAATCACAAAATGCATATACAACCATTGCTACCCGTTGCATTTGATGAGAAAGTTTACTGGAAGAAAGGAAATACTTCGACATGCTCCTACTCGTTTTGCCACTAACTTTATTGCTTTACAAAGCATATTGGCCCAAAAGGATCCATTAAGAGAAATAGTGACATCTAGATAATGGACTTTATTAGCATATGCAGAGGAAAGTAAATGGAAAAGATTTGTTGATGATGTACTTGATTCATTTTGGAAAGAGTGTTATACTATTGTGCAACTTACTAAGCCCCTAGTTCGTGTTCTACGTATTGTTGATAGTGATGAAAAGCCTCCGATGGGCTATTTGTATGAAGCCATTCACGTGGCAAAAAGTGAGATGGAATGTAGATTTCAAAGAAGGAAGAATAGAATAGCTCCTTATTTGCAAATTATTCAGAATAGATTGGATAGTCAATTACGTAAGAATCTTCATGCTGCTGGGTATTGGTTAAACCCGTCTTTCCAATACAATAATCCTGATATGGATATCATAAACAAATTATTTCAGGGCTTTTAGATGTAATCGAGATATATGCTTACGGTCAACTTGATTTGAGAAGCAAATTAACTAGTGAAATGAGATTATTTAGGCAAGCACGTGGTGACTTTGGACGTTTATCTGGTGTAGCTGATCGTCGTAAAATGGCTCCTGGTAAATTTTATTTTCATGTTATGTACTTTGTTGTGTCTGAATTATATGACATACGCCTATTATATTCTTTTTGTTTGGTACAGATGAATGGTAGATGTGTTATGGTAACAGTGCACCAAATCTACAAACACTTGCAATTCGAGTATTAAGTCAAACATGTAGTTCTTCAGGTTGCGAGAGAAATTGGAGTATGTTTGAACATATTCATTCTAAAAAGAGAAATAGACTTGAGCACCAAAGACTTAGTAATCTTGTGTATGTTCACTACAATTTACGATTGCAACAACGGTAATATTATTTAAATAAAATATTTCAACCTTGGTGATTTTATTTTTTATTTGAAGATTTTGCTTTCTTCTATTAGAATTTTGTGTTGATTACTGATAAGTGTGTTTTTGCACACTTATTTACATCACAAATATGACTTAAATACAAGTAAAATGATTGAATTGTTATTTAACTTTGTCAAATTCATGCAATGTAGGTAATTCTATGGAAATAGTGGAATTCAGGAAAAAAGAGCCGAAAAATGACCAAATTGCAATTATCTGAAGGTTGACCCGATGAACACATCAAGCAATTGATCAAGCCAAGCACCAATTGGAAGTTATAATGGAACATTGGAGCAACTAGAAACAAGAGAGGAGGTCAAGAAGTGAAGGAATGAAACTTGAGGATCAAAATGACTCAAATTAGAAGTTTGCTCTACTATGCGGTCGCATAGTATAAAACCTATGCGGTCGCGAGTGACCCTCCAGGGATTAAAAACGCCATTTTTCTTATGCCTATGTGGTCGCATAGGTATAATTTTTTCCCGATTTTTGCAGTTTCCTTATACGATTTCAACTCCTTTGGTAACCTAATTTGGACGGGTTTAAATAGCAACAAAACATCCAGAAGCGGCACGAACGACTTGGGAGGCAAAAACATTCATCTTGGAGTGGATTTGAAGGCAAGAACAAGAATTGATGCGAGATTTACAAGATTTCTTTAAGTTTTGATAACCCGGTGATGTATTTTATTCATACTTTGTTAGATTTCGTTATTTTTATCATGATAGGCTAGATTTCTGCAACTAGGTGATCGATTACCATGTAATTATTATTAAACTTGCTATTTCATGATTTTGAATTATTAGTTCGATGGGATATTTGAATGGATTATATTGCTTTATTTATTTCCACAATTAATGTGCACTTAATTTGTGTGACTTTGGTGGTTTAATTCTGAATTTGAGAAAATTAGATTAAACTCGACATATATAATTCATCATAGGGTCCGATAGGGGATAGAAATATACCCCTATGCCCTATGTAAATCTTTAATTGCTCACAAAAAGATTACATGAGTTCTTGTATAATTGCATCTGTCATAGAAATATAGGCTGGTGATTTATGAGAATAGATTCAATACATCTCGAGAGAGAGTATTCAATAAATTTAGGAGCATTGATTTGTCAAATTCTTATTGGATTATCAAAATTGTGAAATTAGGGTTTAATTAGTAATTATTTGGGGATTCGTGATCCTAGTGCATTTGTTTTACATAGATTTTCATAAATTGACAATACATTTCATTTATTTTTCATAACATTTCGTAATTGAGTCATTCGTTAAGTAAATTTAAGTAATTAGGGTTTGATTTGAAATTAGGGTTTTTCAATTTGGGGATTTCCCCCAAATTAGGGTTTGATTTGAAATTAGGGTTTTTCAATTTGGGGATTTCTCCCAAAATTAGGGCTTTTGATTCCAAAATTCATCTTAATTCAATTAGTTTCGGTTAAGGCTAAAATAAATAAAATTGAACTACTCTTTCTCTGTAGGAGATACTCGGACTTCTAAAATCCACTTTATTTTACTTGTCACGACCCGTACACTTGCGGTAATTTAAATCGAAAGAAATATTTCGCGAACAATTACTTATAAATTGGAATAAACTTTGTTTAGGAATTATTTCAAGAGTCGAAATTATGATCCTATTGACTTTGAAAGGTTTGACATTTATAACAATTGGGTGTTAGAGGATGAGCCACCGAATTTGGTAGATTATGAGTTGGAGACATTTCGTCGTGATTTGAGTGCATGCTCTATACAAAATGATAAAAATGATGATAATTGTTTGACTGATGCTATTGTTTCTTCTTCTTCCCCCTTTTTTTTAAGTACATGTGCTGTAACGTACAAATTTAAAACTCTTTTCAAAAGAATTACATTTTGATAATCTTGATCTGGATTGTGATGGAAACGATGACAATGGAAATGTTAATGGAAGTGATGCAAACAATGGAAACAAGGATTTTAGTATGACTAAGACCCATCATTGGTACAAGGCGAAGGAATTGAAGAATTTATGTCCGAGACCCCAGCATGGATGCGCTCAAACTCTTATTAATTGAGAAGATATTAATTTATTTCAAAATGTTCTTTATCAACGTTTAACTTTTGATTGATGGTTTTACTTTTGCAAGAATATTATTAAAGTATATGAAGCTATCTTGTTGAACTTTTCCATATAATGTATATGTTTTATATGATCGATTGTTGTGCTCATTGTTCCAAATTCATATTTTCACTATATATAATCTAGAATTTGTGAAATTGGGCTACAAATTAATATTTAGTTAACAAAACAATGTGGGGTTAATTTAGTTATTAGTAAAAAATGGAAATAATATATATATATATATATATATATATATATATATATATATTTATTTATTTATTTATAGGAATTGACCCGTCGGTTGAACCACTAACCCGTTGACCCAGTGCATTGTCCGGATCGACAGTCGGATTGGGTCTAATAACTATGCTTACCAAGACCCAAAATAATTTTATCTTGCACAAATGATGTATAGCGCTAGTCTACAAAATAGTTGGGTTATTAGTTTGTCATATAATTGGAGCATCTAACCCATTCAATGTGGTTAATCACACTAGGTAATTTCAACCTTATTTTAGTTTTTCAATTTATTTTTTTTTGGGGGGGGGGGGGGCAATATCCTATTCGTTGTTAAAATTTCGATGATGTATCTTGCCACCTGATGTTGGGTTAATTACTCGAAGTGTTATTGAACTTGACAATTGGTGTCATTTGACTTGTCGCTTAACTTTTAAACTTGTTTTAATTATACCACCGTGTTAATCCATCGACCTTGAAAACTTCTACAAGGTATGGACGGGGAGGTAAATGAATTTATTTATTTATTCTTTCCTTTTAATTTTTCCTTTTGCTTTCGGTTAGTACCCTTTAAAAGTTTAGATTGATTGTGCAGTGAAGTCATAGGTTGGGGACCATTTGTTTAAAAAAAAAAAAAAAACCAGTAACGACACCGTTTCAATTGCCCGTCCGCCAAAAATACCCACGCCAAATGGGAATATTTTCATTTTCCTGAATTTCTTGAGAAAAAAGATACCGAGAGCTCAAAAGGTGAAGTGGGATTCATTCTCATCCAAGGCACCACAATTTTGAATCTCTCCTCTCTCATTCTCTTAGATCGGATATCACCATGACTAAACAGCAAGCAAATTGGTCTCCTTACGACAACAATGGAGGGTATGCAAAACCCTAGTTCGATTTATATGCACAAAAAATTGTTAGTTAGATATTATGATGTTAGTTTCTCATCTCTGTTTGTGTGTCCAGTACATGTGTTGCGATTGCAGGAACTGATTACTGCGTGGTTGCCGCCGACACTCGAATGTCCTCTGGTTACAACATTCTCACTCGCGATTACTCCAAAATTAATCAACTGTAAAGAATTGCTTTCCCATTTCATTTTCTATTTATAAGGAATTTGACTTTCGCAACTCTGTATGTCTTAATTTTTGAATTGATCCTCGTTAAAAAAAAAAAAAAAAAAGGAGGTCAGTAGGTTGTTTTAGTAATTTAAATTTTTTAGTACTATTGATGACATATTTATTAACAAAACTTTGTAAACGGATAAGTAATTACTCGAGCCAATTTTCTGCATCTGTCTTTTTGACGGTCTTGACATTAATGGCCGTAGCATCCAGATGAAAGATTTGCGTATTTTATAATAGTGTTGTGGATGTTTTTATTTATGGAGAGAACTTTCCCTCTGCTTAGAATTTGGCAAAATTGGAATCTGGAGAGAGAAAATTGTGCATGCGATATCAAGTTGGAAGTTATTTTTTTTTTTTTTTTCATTTGATTCTTTATCGCAAATAAGTATGGGATATCAAGTTGAGTTTCTTTGACATTTTTTATTCACTGAAGGGTAGGAGAAATCAATTTCTTTCTCACTTTTCTCGTTTCCCTTTGCTTAATGTATGACTTGAACAGAAACTTGAATAATGTGAAAACTATGTCTCTTAGTTCAGAAAGCTGGCTTTTTGACTTCAGCAGCTTTGAAAAGAGTGACGAGGTTAAAAAATGCTTTTAAATGTGCAAGAGGATTGCTTGATGGCACTCACTTTCATTTCTTAAGAACTTATTATGTCTGTTAATTATATTCATTTTAGTGTTTAGGTACATCTTTGAGATGTTCATTGTTGTACTACCTCAAGAACATTTGCTTAAAGCATTCATGATGCTTAATTTTTGTATTCATTCTTCCCTTCTTACTCAGAAAAGGTAATTTTTGTTCTTCCATTCAACTTTTTGGAGTCTGTATTATGTGACTTTCCTCATCATGAATTTATTTGGCAATATGTGATTGTTGTGTATGGCTACTTTTTTCAATTTTCTTGATTGCTTCAAAGTTGTCCTTATCTTGGCAAAGATGTAAAGTATATATTTTGGTTCTCCAATAATGTAGGGCGGACAAATCCGTGCTGGCCTCGTCAGGTTTTCAGGCTGATGTGAGAGCTCTACAAAAAGTCTTGGCAGCTAAGCACTTGGTATGTTCTTTAAGCATTTTAAGATTATTGGAAGACTTTATAATTTTAATCTCCCTAGCGGCAGTTAAATATGTAAAGGGTCGAGTTATGCATTTCTTCATTGAGCTGTTCATATTCCTCATTCAATTGCTAAATTAAAATGCTAGTGTGAAATTTTAAGGGCGTCTCAGCCCCTTTTTCCTTATCAGCTATGGGTGTCAAATCACTCAACTATAATTGTGTTAACGTTCCTTTTGATTTACTTCAGTCAATTTTCGTCATGTTTTCTAGAGTTCCAGGTAGATGACTGATTCACTTTCCTTTGTCCTATTGCATTATGCCATCAGAGGTTTTTGTTACTATTCAAGGAACTAATTTATGATGAATAAATTGCATATGCAAACCTTCTTTTATCTCATTGCAGTCCCTTTTAGTACCTAAAAGTTTGAAACCTCAATTTTCTTCCTTCCTTTTTCATTACCACTCCTGTTTGGTGGACTAAACATGATAATTGGATCGTTGCAAAAGGATTAAACTGAGTTTTATAATTGCTGCTCTGAACTCTTTCGGTGCTGCAAGCTTAGGGTAGTTGAAATATGTATACAACTCATGCCTGATAATTCTTTATTGTTTCGTGAATTGCAGCAATATCAGCATCAGCATAACAAGCAAATGAGCTGTCCTGCAATGGCACAGCTGCTCTCTAATACCCTGTACTACAAACGTTTCTTTCCATACTACGCATTCAATGTTTTGGGTGGTCTTGACAACGAAGGTAAGACTTTAGTGAATTCCAGTTGGTTTGTGGTACGTCTATCATTACTTACATCATGCTATTTTCTTTTCTTTGTTCTTTTTGGGGAAATCCTGAAGGAAAGGGCTGTGTCTTCACGTATGATGCTGTTGGATCTTATGAGAGGGTTGGATACAGTTCTCAGGGTTCTGGTTCTACACTTATCACGCCCTTTTTGGACAACCAACTGAAGTCCCCAAGCCCTCTCTTATTACCTGCCAGGGTCTGATTTTGTCTACCATGCATAGATAATTTCTACATACAGTTTATATCAAGTATGGCCGAGTTATGTTTTAATGATATTCTGCAGGATGCTGTTACTCCACTTTCAGAGTTAGAAGCCATTGACTTGGTGAAAACCTGTTTTGCGTCTGCAACAGAAAGGGATATATATACTGTAAGCGAGTCTTCTATTTTGTCAATAAGGAGAAGTTATCTGCTTTTCTTTGAATTATTTGTGGAGCTTTCCCTTTTAGTCATCTGCACCATGTTCCTCATTAGGCTGGCACGTGTTTGAAATCCTTTTTGATGTACCATTGTAGTTAAATGGTTTAATTTTTGAGTGTAAGAGCATAAATGTGTCTTCAGGATCAAATATTACCATTTTAAGAAGCTTTATCATAAATTAATGATTTACTGCATGTTTGCTCAGGTGCATCGAACAACATTAAGAAAAAAGGGTTAAAATCTTGTTTAATGTATTATTTAGTCACTTTAGTCCTGTCCAGTACATATATAAGCCTGTTATCCCTTGCGTACCTTTGATCTGTTGAGCGAGAGCCCTTCCACATGGGACTCCCGGATCACTATGGCCGACTTTCGTCTCTGTTCGACCAGTCAGTCTGATTAGTCCTGTCCAGTACATATATAAGCCTGTTATCCCTTGCGTACCTTTGATCTGTTGAGCGAGAGCCCTTCCATATGGGACTCCCGGATCACTATAGCCGACTTTTGTCTCTGTTCGACCAGTCGGTCTGATTAGTCCTGTCCACATGGGACTCCCGGATCACTATGGCCGACTTTCGCCTCTGTTCGACCAGTCAGTTTGATTAGTCCTGTCCAGTACATATATAAGAAATGTATAGAGAGAATTATACAATTTGGGCCCTATGATTTAAAAAGGTACTTGTAACACATTGGGGCGGGAAATGACCTGGAATATTCTCTTCCCAATTCTCCCTCCTATGTGGTTTGTTCCTCAAAGTTTTATGTACAAATCAATACTCTTACTACACTGCTTAAAATTTTAACAAGGGAAATCAATACGTCAACCAAAAATCTAGTAGTACCTAGGAATTTTGTATCTTGTGTGGATGTAAAAAATTTCCCTCTATAAATAGCTCAGATATGTAATCCTATTGGACCATATTGCTAGATGGATTATTTGTGGATCTGGTTTTCATTTGTCCTTTTTTTTGTCTGCTGTTATCTATAGACCAAGCTTCTTGTGTATGTTTTGCAGGGAGACAAATTGGAAATTCTCATTTTGAATGCAAGTGGTATACGTCGGGAATACATGGAGCTTAGGAAAGATTGAGTCCTGTCCCCTGTTTCTTTGCTGCTGCTCTTGCTGAATTGGGGGACTTATGCTCGGCATGGCTGTAGAGGGTAGTTGCCAGATGATTCTTATGTTCTACTGGCATGTCGCTTATTTAACTCCCGGACTAGCAGTCTGCATCCTTTAATGAAAATGTCGTGACATGACTTTTTTTCTGGGGACTTGCATTTCTTTATTTGAACAATCACCTATAGCTTGTGTTTGAATCTTCGATCATGTTTACATGTAGTGACTGTGTTGAATGGCATTTCTTGAAATACATGAGCAAGCTTTGAAATATTAATTCTTGGAACTTTTTATGGATTCTGATTTATTCAGTATCCAAACCAAAGTACAATATAACAAGATACATGACATGAAAACGTGGGAAAGGGAATATCTCTTGATTCGAATGCTGCTCTTGCGCCTAGTCAGAAGGTGTTTTCTGATGCCCATCCCTTCTTCTCTAGTTCTAATCTGAGTACCTGTTTCAGATCAAGAAATTTATGTTACTGTGACATATTTTACAGCATTAGTTTGGGTGAGAAGTGCAATAATATCCAACATGCGAGTTCCTAATAACTTTTACTTTGATTCTCTTTCTGTTGATATCAAAGTCGAAATTCCCCATACGTGATGCTGAACGATACTGTACGATTGATTTCTTGCCCGGTGGAAACCAAAACTCAACATCATCAACGAACTGAAAGGAGAGAGAGAAAATTCAAGTATGGAGTAAATAAAAACTAAAGATTAACACAAATTTGTTGCACCTACCCCCAAGATTGGGCTTTCATATTCCACGCGCACATAATCATCCCTCTTTTCTACTATTCTTGGACTAAAATTGTCTGGTTTTGTTGATTTTATCTAAGCCATGCAACAATTAAAAATTTGTTAGAGATTTCAATTATAAATAGAGGAATTGTGAACGAAACACGTTGAATTTGTACCACTTCAAGAAGCTCCTCCATTGCTTTTTCTTTACTCACAGGCTTTTCACTTCCACGTCCCTCCTCGGGATTGTAGTTCCTGAAAAATAATACACGAAAAACAATCTCATCATCATTTTTCATTAAAATGAAGTCAATGCAAATTAGTTGGATAATTTTCAATATTATTGTGTAATGGTTCGTGTATCACATGTTTAATAAAGAAATTCATAGGTGATGATGCTATCACCGTCCAAACTTTGAACCGACTCCTTTTTCTATTTGAAAATCAGGCACATTTCCCTTACCAACCGCCCCTGGGAGGGGGGTCGAGTTTTGATAACTGAATTTAGGTTAATGTCTTCGATTGCTCACTGAATTTAGGTCCATGTCTTAAATTGCTCACTGAAATTTAAAATATTGAATTTTGATCACTTAATTTTGGAATATGCCATATATTACTCACTATCATAATTGTTGAACTTTAAAAAATATTAAATTTACAGTGACTAATGTATAGTATTTTTCAAAATTCCGTTAGTAATATATAATATTTTTCAAAGTTTAGTAAGTGATGGACAATATTTTTCAAAATTTAGTGGTCAAAACTTGATATTTTAAACTTTAGTGAAGAATGGAAAACATGAACATAAGTTCAATGATCAAAATTCGACATTTTAAATTTTAGCGATCGGCATTGACCTATGTTGAGTGACCATTTGCACAGTTAATTCTCGAGAAAAAAACAGTGCAACGAGAAATAGCTAGTTACCAAGGTGGGGCATAGTGGGTAAGATCACTGATATTCTCAGAAGTTGAAACACAATTGTTGGTGGCCGGACATAATGCTAGACCAAGAGGATTCTTCTGCACTCCCAAGTAATTTGGCTTCGTTCCACTGTCCTCCTCAACAATAAAGGTTTTTGTTTTTTTTAAATCCCAAGAAATAATAATGTGTAGTGAATGGTTGAAGAGAGGATAGAGGAGACGAGGCGGGGATAAAAAACATGCCTGAAATGGAAAACAGCTCCGAGAACCGCAATTTCACTGCTCCTCAATATGATTTCCCTTTCACACATAAAGGTATTGGGATTAATCGAAAATCCATTTGATTGAAGAATAAAAATGGTAAATCGGAATACCTGCGCCCCTTTTGGTCGGTGTTCTGTTTTGGGGCCTCTTCTTCCTCCTTTGGCGACCCATTTGTAATATTGATACGAACGAAAGGAGAAGCTTTGTGAGCTTTGTTGTAGGTTTTGCAATGGATGAAATGGGCACTGGAGGAAGCCATCGAAGCCATTACTGCACAAAGCTCGCTCGCTCGCTCTCTCTTTCTGCGCTATATTATAGAACGGGAGTTAAATGTGCCGGGTCAGGCCGCCTCGTGGTCGATTTTTAGGGCCGTGCTATATGGACAGCCCCATCCAAGAAGATTATTCGTGTTTTTTTATTTTTCTTTTTGGAATGTGCACTGACAATTGTACTTTCACTTTTCGAAAGATTGGTAAAGGTGTAATATTTGCAAGCACAATTTTTATTTAATACGTTAGATTTTAATTGAAGTAAACATATTATTTAATTAACTTTTTGTCGAATTATTATCTTTAACCTTCCATTAATTAGTACGTCTCATTTTTTATGATAATTTATATCAAAATATTTTATTTTCATGCTTTGAAACGAGGAGAAAATATTTCACACTTTTTATTCATTTATTTATAGAAATATGATAAAAATAAAAGCATCTTCAAATGACTTTCTATTTTCAAAGAACATATTCTATTATTTAGAGAGCATTTATAAATTTAAAACATTTTAAATTTTGAAATATTCTAACAAACTCTTTATATTTAACATTTAATTTTATTACTAACAAAAAATATTTATTATTTTTCTATCTTTTATTTTAACTAGTTTTTTTTAGATTATTTTATTATTTTCCTACATTGGGAATTGAAAACACCTTGAATGCATTTAATTATAGAGAGTAAGTCAAACCTATTCTCTAAATTGAAACATTAATTTAAAGAGTTTATTGGAGCATGATTTTAAAGATTGACTCTTTAAAATAGAAAATGAGCTTGTCTCTCCAAATTTGGAGAATGAAATATTCTGTAAATTAAAATGTTAATTTAAAAAGTTTATTGGAGTATAATTCTAAAAGATGACTTTTTAAATTAGAGAACATCTCATATTTAAAGAATCTCTTAAAGATGTTCTAAATTGTTCTACGTCATTTCAACGAATTTTTCATGAAATATGAAATATATTTCCATACTGAAGATTCTATATTGTAGATGATTGGAATTAGGACAAGTTTGCCTTTGCCATCTGGGTGGGAGATGTTTTGGCAGATATCGGTGTACTTTCTTATCGAGGACTATGCTAATTAGAACCTCGCTACGTGTAAAGAATCGGATTTCACAGAAGCTCTTCAGACAACACATAAAGCGTGAGGTCAACAATTTTGTTTGCAATTTTTTATCACCCACGGGTCCTGCATGGGGCCAACCTCATGTGTTTCTTTTGGAGGCTGGAGGGGTTCTATTCTGGACAAATGGTTATCCCCTGCTAATTATTGGCTACACAATGGATGGGGGTACCAGAAAATCCACCGAGTTCACCATGAATACAATGCTCCAATTGGATTTGCATCTCATGCACATTGGCCAGAAATCATAATCCACGGATTTGCCTCCTTTTTGGGTCCACTCATTGTTCCGAGACACATGATCACCTTCTGGCTATGGTTTATTTTGAGGCAAATGGAACTATGGAAGCCATTGAAACTCATAGTGGGTACGTACGTATACAAGTACATCCCAGATTTCAAGTATTCAAGAAAATCCCATTTCACTCATTTAAAAACTTGAGCTGTTAGAGGGACTTAGTCTTCAACAAGCTCTCCAAAAACTTGAGCTGTTATAAAATTTAGTCTTCGACTCGCTCCCTTAAGTGCAAAAATGTGTATTTTCATATTGTGATGTAGGTACGAGTTTGATAGATGCATAGCATGGTAACGTGGCAGGAACTGTGAAGAGCCGTTGCATGGAAATGTGGGGATCTGATACGTGAAGGAAGAGAGAGGATGTGGGCTTCAGATAGAGAACAAGACCTAGTCCAATGATAGATGCATAGCATGGTAACCGTGGCAGGAACTGTGAAGAGCCGTTGCATGGGAACGTGGAGATCTGATACGTGAAGGAAGAGAGAGGACGTGGGCTTCAGATAGAGAACAAGACCTAGTCCAATAGCATTTTATTTTCTTGTTTTCATTTTCTGTTTGGCAGTTGCATTTATTTTGTTTTGCACGTTATTAGTGCTGTTAATTAATGTAGGTTTAGTGTTTCCTTAGATTTAGGAACTGCTTGGTTGTGTTGGGCTTTTGCCTATATATATATATATATATATATATAGTGGACGTGAATGGAAGAAACCAGATGATGAATTAAAAACAATTGTGGTTTATTCTCATCCTAAGAGAAAAACTTGTGGTTTCCTTCCTACCCAAAAGATCCAAGAAAAGTTGCAGGAAGCCCTTGTTTTGGTTTCAGAAATAAGGATGTCTTTTAAGGAGTCTTTTCTTCCAAGGAGTTCATTTCAAGCACTTGGCAGAAAGGATGATCATGCTCCTCGCCACTGCACTGAATTGCAAAAGGAAGAGGAAGACTTCACTGGTTCACGAACAGGAGACATGGATTTTTCCCATTTTTCTGTAGATGATCCAGTGGAATGGTTGCTTCATGCAAATCGTTATTTTGAGTGTCATGAGATTGATGGTGCTCAAAAAGTGACGTATGCAGGCAAAACTCCACAAGCGTTTCTAATTGAAGGCAGCCCAGAATTGATTGCATATGAGGAGCAAGAGTCGGCATAGTGTGACCACATCCAAGTGTTTGACAGGGGCAAGAGAATAATTCAACATTGCATCCAGGGAGACCTTCAGAAGCAAATTCCAATTGTGGACCTTGAGGACAAGTGTCCAATTGAGGGGGAGGTATTAATGAGTGAGAAAGAGAACGTGGCCCTTAATTCGAGAATAAGACCAAGTCAGTGGCTCAGTTGTGAAGATTCTATGGCTATTTTGTTGTTTGCATGTGGGAATTTGAGTCCAATTCCAAGATCATGCTATGCATCTATCATCCAATAGAATTTTATTTCTGTTTGGCAGTTGCATTTATTTTGTTTTGCACGTTATTAGTGCTGTTAATTAATGTAGGTTTAGTGTTCCTTAGATTTAGGAACTGCTTGGTTGTGTTGGGCTTTTGCCTATATATATATGTAGTGGACGTGAATGGAAGAAACCAGATGACGAATTAAAAACAATTGTGGTTTGTTCTCACCCTAAGAGAAAAACTTGTGGTTTCCTTCCTACCCAAAAGGAAGTTTTATGTATTTAAATCTATTGTTTTTGTCTTTGTTCTAACTGGGACCGCATCAGAGTTCCCTTTGAGTCCGAAATTTATTCCATTTTATGGAGGAGCAATTTACAATGACCACCACTACGTTGGTGGAAATTGCCACAGCAACTTTACTTCAGTATCCACTTACCGTGCTTACATTTACGGAACCAACAAGGTTTGTCCATATTTCGAACTCAAGTTTTTACTTTTTGACAATTTTTTTTAATTTATAGGAGAAATAACATCTAATTGTTATTTTCATCGATTTTATTCCTTTTGCTGTGATTTTTCTTGAATGTTTTTTCTAGGGATACTGGTACCAGAAGGAAGTATTCGAAAATGTACTAGCTATACATTCCCTCGAATTATGTCTAAATGATGGGATTGTTATTTCCTTTCAGGGTGGAATTCACATTTCTTATCTTATTATACTGCTTGTTGGATTCATCAGAAACGGGAGAAATCGAAGCAAATGTGAGCAAAAATGGAGATAGTACACACAAGTCATGAAACTTGTAGCAAGTTTTTCGAGGTTCTCGTTTAAGAGAGTGCTATTTTTAATTAAAATCAAAATGTTATTATTAATTAAATCTTGATTTTGGGTTAGTGAATAAAATATATAAAAAGCTTATTAGTGTTTATGACTTATCTGATGAGAGTAAATTGTTGGGCACAGAAGCTCTGATACCACTTGTTGATCCAAACTAGATTGTAAATAATGAGATTTAATGACAATATTATGAAGTAAACAAGATCACACGATTAAACACAAGATTTAATTTGTAAAAAAGGAACAAAAGATTAAACTCACGATATTTATTATTGAACAATATGAAGAAAATAAGTACAGAATAGCAAAATTGCTTCTATGTTACTCTCTAATAAAACTGATAGAGAAGCCTTGTATTTATAGGCTACGTTTCAAATCCTAGAAGAGTTCTAAGAGGCAAGAAAATATATTATAATTAGAAGACCCAATTTCAACAGGATTTTACTTCTTTGTTGAATGCAGTTAGGCTCATTTCCAATACTAACAACATGCGATTTAAGACTCTTATTTGAATCACAACTCTAACAATCTCCACATTGACTCAAATTCCGGTGCAATGAGCGGAGTTTCACAAAATTTCTCCACCCCAGAAATAAACACGTTTGCATCAAAATGAAATGCCAAATCGCTTCAACGCAGTAACCAAAACTCTCCAAATAAACCATCGTCCTTTGCACGGCGTCCACAAGCGACACCTGAACCCTACTCCTGGGTTTCCCAAAATTCCACCAAGAAATTAATGTTTACCAAATATGGTCGAAGCATACTCTGTAACAGAAATCATACAAAATGCCTGAACAGAAGGCACCTTGCTAAAACTGTCGCCTTTAACGTTCCCAAAAGCATTACAGACATCAATGACATCAAGATACCTGAGCTCAATGGATCCAATCCTAGCAACTGAACATAGTGCAACCGTTGAAATTTGTGGTAAAGCGGAATCACCAACATTTTCTCGAGCAATGTTCTGAACCGACCTAAAGCCTGTTACAAGAGGTACTGTACTAAACTGAATATCCACCACGTATGTCTCTTAACTGGTTCTGCGCTCTCCTGCAAGATGTACAATTAAGACATTCTCCGTCCCTCTAGTACAACCCGGACACCATTTCGGACCTTCAAGATTTCACCTTCACCAGAGAATTTATACTCTTTTGCATTTAGAGCATTAAGCGAGATGAGATTCCTTTTCAGGTCTGGAACATGTCGAATATGATTAATTATTCTGATTCTCCCATCCCGCAGCCTAAATTTGACTTGATCGATCCCAGCAATACGGCAATATTTGTTGTTTCTCATTACAACTCCACATTGCTAAACAAACTCATATGTCCGAAAGAAATTCCGATTGGAACACATATGATGCGAACATGCTGAATCAAGAATCCGCTCCTCGTCAGACCTAGATTCCGCGTCAGATACCACGATCAACATCACATCTCCGTCGTCTAAAAAAACCTCAACTGCATTTGTTTCGTCCGAAGTCAAATGTTGCACTCCACAATTTGCAGCTAAATCACCTTTAGTCTGCAATTTATCGCAATCCTTTCGAATATGTCCCTTACGTCTGCAGAAGAAGCAAAACAAATTGCTGTTATTCTTCGATCTGTCCCTCCATTGACCACCATGAGATACAAGAGCTTCCTCATCCCTCGATGTAGCTCCAACCAAATGCTTCAACTTCTCATTTGAGTGCAAAGTATCATAGACATCGTCTACAGTGAAAATATCTTAACTATACAAAATGGTGTCCCGAAACGACGCATAAGAGCCGGGCAGCGAACACAACAGGATCAAGGCCAGATCTTCTTCATCATACTTAACCTTCAACGTCTCTAGATCTATAACTATTTCCTTGAACATGACAATATTGTCCTCTAGTGACTCTCCTTCCGCCATGCGATGAGAATATAGCTTCTGCTTTAGAGCCAGTTTGCTCATGAGACTTTTAGTCATGCATAATTGCTCCATTTTTAACCACAAGGTAGCCGCTGTTTTCTCCTTCAAGACATCTTGTAGAATATTGTTGGATAAATGAAAATGGATCTGCGATAAAGCCTTCCGATCCCTTCGTTGTTTCTATTCCGTTGTCCAATCAGTTGGCATCTTCTTAAAACCTAGCAATGCATCGTCTAAATACAATTGTGCCAGTATAGCCCTCATCTTTCTTGCCACAAAAAAAAACCTTGTATTACGATCCAGCAGCGGACTGTCATACCTCATGGTAGTCATCTCTAAAAAACATCAATCAATCCACAGAAGAAGAAAAAACTCTGATACCACTTGTTGGGCGTGGAAGCTCCGATACCACTTATTGATCTTAACCGGATTGTAAATAATGAAATTTAATGACAATATTATAAAGTAAACAAGATCACACGATTAAACACAAGATTTAATTTGTAAAAGAGGAACAAAAGATTAACCGCGGAGGAACGATATTTATTATCGAACAATATGGAGAAAACCAAGTGCAGAATAGCAAAACTGCTTCTATGTTATTTTCTAATGAAACTAACAGAGGAGTCTTGTATTTATAGGCCACGTTTTAAACCCTAGAATAGTCCTAAAAGGCAAGAAAATATATTACAATTAGAATACTCAATTTCGACAGGATTTTGTTTCCTTGTTATTGAATGCAGTTAGACTTAATTTTGACACTAACAACATGCGATTCAAGATTCCTATTTGAGTCACAACTCTAATATAAATGATTTCATGGTTGGCAGTTGATCTTCTCTACAGAAGCCAAAAAAATTACAATCTTCAGTTTGGCTCAAATCCACGACTATAAGTTTAAGAGGCTTTATCGTCTGAGCTAGACGAGCTTTGATTTGTCATCTTTTTATTAAAACTAATGAAAAATATTTGATCATAAAGATAGTTTCAGTTTCAGGGAGTTGAATGAATTGAAATAGCCTATCTCACTCACTCTGTAGCATGTGGGGCTCTTAACATTTTGTTTGTGCATTTGAGCCCCATTTAACAGCTTTTTCTAGCTCAAACCTTTGGATCTAAACTATGGGTAATTGATACAACGTCCCTATCATTTGTCTTTGTCACGCAAATTGTTCATATCGTTGACCTTTGACATTTAGATCCTCATATTAACTTTCTTTTTGTTAATTATCCTTGACGTCACATTCCTTCCATTTACTCCACTAAAGCTTTAAGAAGGATGAATTTTTAATCCTCTTTAAATTAACAAAAAGAAAAGAAAAATAAAAAAATAATTACAGCCAATGTTTCAAAAAAATTTTTCTCAAAATGTGCAAACTAGTCCCACTTATAATTATTATAAAACATATTAAAAAAGAAAAAGAAAAAAAAGTTTCATCTTCACAATGAATCCCACCTAACCCGACAGACCCCCAGTCCACCACCACTAGGGATACTGAAAAGACATGAGAAATTTGAATTAACCTCTTTGGACAGGGTTAATTCTAGGGCCAAAAATAGGGGTGTCCCTGGCTGTCCAGCAAGGTTGGAGAAATTTACTAAAACGAACATTTGCCAATTTAAAAAAAAAGGGGTTTTTCCACCCACAATTTTTTGAAAACAAAGGCAAATCCTTACTAAAAACGCTGAAAATTATCAACTTGATGATAATACTAAAAATAAAATTAGAAAATTTTGATAAATCAATGAAATTTAGTTTAAAAGTTATAAAAATTATGAATCTCATAAAATGTGTGAATAAAATTATTTTTTGACTTCAATTTAATTTTTTATCAACTTTTACTGAAAATGGACTAATATATATCTAGATCACTATCAGATAGAAGTAGGCATTCTACTTCGTCTATTTCTATTCCCAAAAATCAAATTCCTAATCCTGTTTATTCTAAAAATAGAGAGGAAGATTCTCAAAGTGAATCTAATTTGAATTATTCCCAAGTACATGGAATGTTTCACGGGTTTCTAGACTGCCCTCATTCGTCCGTTTTATTTTTCATCTTTCCATAATGTGTTGACATGTATTATCTATGAAACAATTCTGTGAAAGAAATCTTTACGCGTAGCATGATTATTCTAATTTAGGTTTTGAATATAATATCATAAGGAAAAACCCCTGAAATTAGATTTGCAAATTTTAAAACAATTTTGTAACAAAGAATTTATGTCACCAAGAAATAAGGAATTTCATCATTGGTTCTTTGAGACCTTTAACAATAAAGGAAAAATTAGGGTTGAGTTTCCTGACCTATCCAATTATGGGAGTTTGGATCTACGTTTGACGGAATTTCTTACTTTGACAATTAAAAAGTCAAAATTTTCTAAAATAATTATTATGCCCTTACTAAATAATAAAAAAATTAAAAACAAAATCAGAATGAAAAATGAAATATATATATATAATTTTAAAACAAACAAAAAGAAAATGAGGAAAAAAACAAATCATTTGATTTTTTATTTTTCCTAATATTTCACAACCTTGAAAACCCTGGCCCTTGTTTGATCAACCGACAACCAACAAGTTCCTAGCAAATCAACAGCAAAAGCTCCTTTTATGCACAACTGCGCAAGGACATACTATGCGCAAGAAAACCAGCACAACATTTTCTCCTTTTTCTCTTCTATATCTCAAATTTCAGATAAAAAACTTGATAAATCATTGTCCATAAATTCAATAATAAAATTTGGATTAAAAAATTATTGGAGACTTTCCTGTTTCCTCTTCCAGATAGAACAGGATTGCTCCTAAAATTAAATTGATCATAAAATACCGCCTCCTAGTTGCTTGATAACTCAGAAACAACAAAATATATATTTGATCTCAAAAAAAGGAAAAAAAAAAAAAAAAAAAAAGGAAAAAAAAAAAAAAAAAAGAAAATTATCTTAATCTATGTTACATTATGAATGAAAACTTGCACTTTGTCCAGGATAAAATGGTCATTAACTATCAACAATTTCTTAACTCTCCACAGCCAGGATGTACAGGACTTCAATAAGTTGCCTGAAGATCTTCATCTTCCCCTAAAGAATCATGTTTCACCCATTATACAGTCAGAAACCAACCATGAAACTCCCATTTTGCTGTTCCAGATATGTATATATTCCACCCTGCTCATGCAAAATATATATATGTACATTTAGAATTCAAAACCAACAGAATCAGGGGAAAACACGGAGATTGTGTGAATCAAGACAAACCTGCTGGTTTTGGGCAAAACTAAGTATAATGTGATGAAAATCAACTTCTAGATTCCGAGGCCATCAGCAGAAAGCTCCTTTTCTGACAAGAGCTTAAGTTTCTGCAGGACAAAACGATAATTGTTAAGATTTGGGATTCATCTTAAAAGGTCAATTTTGTTAAGAAGAGTAGCACCCAAACCATATAAAGTTGGCCTATGTTTTCATTTTTATTCGAAGTGGGATTGTATCTCTTAATATGCCCCGCAAGATGGTGACTCGTTTGATCATACCAATCTAGAAATTTGTGTGATCATTTTTTAGTCTTAATCGGATCAAATTGCTCGTCAGAATTTAATGAGCTCTAATATCATGTTAAGATTTGGATTTCATTTTAAAAGGTCAATCTTGTCAAAAGAAGTAACCCAAGAGGTCTATGTTTTCATCACTGGAAGTGAAGAAATTACACTAAGGCCATGGATGGGTGTTCGGGTCCAGAAAGCTTCTACTGGGTGAAAAACAATACTCAGATATAAAGAAATAAAAATGTAAAGCAATATATGCAAGAGAGCTCCACCGGAAACAAAGGACTTAACGACAAATTGGTCATCTGCATGTACGAAATGGCAGTAGACAAGAACAAATGTTAAATATAATCCAGTTTGATATGTAAGGCCAAAATTCAATTTTGCTAGCTGGAAACTAGTTGAAGACTAAAATATTATATGAAAAAAAGAAAGAAGAAAAAATGAAAGATAACATTACCGTGATGTATTGAGGTGGATCATCAATACTAGTTGAACCAAGGACTATTTCCCTCCTCAATTTTGCTGTTAGCTTGTGACAAACCCTTAACTGAGGACAAAACAAGCGAATGTAAGCCATCTGCACAAGGCGAATACCGTCAAGATTACAGCTGAGGAATAAAACGAGAAGTCCCACCTCAGATCTAGTTGCCCCACCAATTATGAATATAAAAATGCGCTTTCCCATCTTCTTAAAATCATTAGATACATTCCTCAAAACTGAATCACTGAAAACACGGTATTAAAGAGTTATAAGTACTTGAATAACCTATTCAAAGATGTTGGGAATGCAATTTATATTCTCTTAACAGAGTAGAAGAAAATTTGATAAATGATACACGACTATGAATTTTATTTATCTGTAGGCTATATAATGCATTTTCTTATATGTCTGGAAGTCCATAAAAAGAAGACCAAGTCATCAAACTAAAGGATGAACTTAAATTGATCACGATCGTGTGGATCCTAACTAACAATGACATTCAGGATAAAGCAAATTCTTCTGGAGCAGTGCAGATTGCTAGGTGTTCATACCTTGAATATCCATCATCAGATGCTCGAGATCGTGCCCATGTTGCAGTTCGTCTTGATCTCACTGATCCACCCTGAGAGGGCACACTAGTTCGACCTGATCTCACTGATCCACCCTGTGGTGGCCCGCTGGAAGGACTAGGATTATTCATGCTTTGATAATCTTCTTTTGGCAGTTCACCTTTATTCAACTTCTCTATTAACTCCTGAATAAATAAAAAGTGAAAAACAAGGTTATTGTACACTTTTCATGAAAGAAAGAGCAATACATGATGAAAATGTTTAGCTTAAAGCATTTCATTCTGGCTCTTCATTAACAGAAATATTATGATAAAGGAGGTGAAGAAAAAAATATTCAGGGTGCAAAAGATTTACCCATTCAACATTATGCAAATCAGCAGAAAATGAGTACGATACCTTGCACAAGAAGATGTTGGAAAAATTCACCTCCATTTTTATTCTGTTCCTTTTTCTCTTTATCAACTTACCCATCACTTCTTAGAACTTTAACTCCTTATATAAATTAAAATGTAAGAACTTTATGTGAAGTGGTCAATCATAGTACTTTTCCAGGATCAATAGTGCACTGCCTCATTTCTGTGTGTAGAAGTTCTTAAATTGCTATTTTTGATCCGTTGGAAATGATCAGGAAGCATTGATTATGCAGGCAGCCCAAGGTAAACGAATAATGACATAATTTGCTCTACATTATTCAAACCGTCAGGCAAGACTCCTTTAAGTCATAAGCATGTTTACTCTTAAGCAGTTGTAAGTGATAATAGGTGGATATAGGGGAGCATAAATTCAGTCATAAGTGAAATAGGACCTGGAGTATTAATGAATTGGAGATTAAAATTTTTTAATCTTGGAAGATCTATTTTAATTGCCCTACAGATTAATTCAAGCATGAGGTAGCATAAAAATGACAAGGACATGGTTTCATTTTCAAGTTTCAACTGTGCAAAAACAGTGAAATATTTCAAGTTTGCTTCATGCTTAATGTGGTACACTGGTTTACTCTTGATTTGGTATTAGAAGCTCCCCTATCAATGTAGATTATTAATCATCTCTCCAAGTCGCATAATCCAATCACCCTAATGAAAATTGGGATAAGGACCAGGTCAGCTTTCACTCAAAACTGGAGGCTCTAGAATTGAAACCTTTCTCTTCTAATGAAAACCTACGTCCATGCAGACAAGGAAAAAATAAAAAGTGGCAGTGTGAACCGACCAGGAGTTTTTAGCTTGAAAATGCAAGACTTTTGAAGTTTAGATTCAAGCAGCATATGCAAAAACTTTTAACCAAACCTCTATCATAGGATAAAACCGAGATAGCGCCCATGTTTCTTCTTCCTCTCCAGTTCGATCCTTTCTTGCTGCATTCTTCCTCTAATAAGCAAACAAAAAGGTTAGAAAACTGTCAGTCTCAGTTCTAGAATCAACTGTGGTTCTGCAACTGACTTTAAGCATTTGAACTGGTAAATATATTTACCTTTGCTGAATCAAACTTAAGTGAAAAAGTCCCATGTGAAGTCTTCCTTGAATTTGATCCCTCGAGCAATTTCATATTTTTCACTGCCTTCATGTCTTCGCTTGATAATTTTGCCAACTAAAGCAGTAAAATAGCAGCCTCATCAATTTTATCTAATATTTTAGATCAATTATATTACTCCAAGCATCCACAAAATATAATACTAACGCTAGGAATCACATAAATGGATATAAGTTCCACCACCCCCTGCTCAGCAAATGGATACTCATCTTCCTACAGATCTTGTGCGAGTCAGTGGCTTCAATTAATATCCATTTTAATGACCAACAAGGGCTTGCACTTAAACTCATTTTTAGACATCTAAAATTGAACAAACTGAGACTCATTAAAAATCAAAATAACTAGAAACGAAAACTAAAGAGAATCCGGTTAACAAAATCACTGTGTTGATAAATAGGATCAATCCAATAAACTTTTTCCAAAAGTGCATACGTAATTTGAAACAATGAAAATCTAACAGTGCCTTCTCTGAAAGCATATGTAATAACTCATTTCGTGATAATAATCTTTTTCTATTATTGTAATTTCACCCCTATGACTACTGATCTAGGATCTTCTTAGCTACATCATATTAATTTAAGGAAAGTTACTTGGAAAGAAAAAAAAAGCTGTGCTTCGAAAGAGGCCATAACTTGTGGCCTTCCCTAAAGGAAATAATAAGTGATAAAAAAATGCATGCAAAAGATAAAATTGAAACGAGCATTCAAGATTGCTAAAAGTGCACCTAAAAAATCTCTCAAATAGGATAATATATAGTAGGCAGAGCGGATGGACTAAGGAATGAACGTTGGAGGTTAGGAACAGTCAACCTATAACATCTAGATATTCTAACAGATGTATTCTAATTCCAATCAAAATAATCTTTCAGACTAGTGTATAATTGCATCGCCTCGGCTTCATATTAATGTTCTGTTCTGTAAAAAGAATTCTGTTCTAGGGTTTAACTTATTGCAGTAGGATATCCTAGGCATGTTTGAAAAGAAAATTAAAGCATATACCCTGTCAATCTCACAAAAATTCATAGTTTAGCTCTAAATAATATTTTAGAGGAGAATTTATCTCAGCTTAATGCTTTTGGTATTTACTGAAAACAGTAGGGCGTTATAGTAGATATTTAGTGGTATTATTTTGAGATAATATCAGACACCCCTCAACTGATAATATCAGAGACAAGTGATCTCCTGTGTTTTCGAAAATCACAGAAACCTCCCTTCTAGGCAAATATATATATATAACTTTCCTATTTTATCCTTCATTCTATTAGATTTGGAACAATCTTTTTCTTATTTTTATTTTTTCTAAATTTAGCTTGAAGAAAACTCAAAATGCTAACTTTATTATTTTTTTTATTGTGACAAGAACAAAAAGAAAATAGTTTACTCAGTATATTGCAAATGAGAGAGAGAGAGAGAGAGAGAGAGGTCACCTGCATTAGTTTGGTTGCTTTGTCACCCTCAAATTTTTCTGGATAGACAGAAGCATATATCATCAAAAGCCGTAACTTATTCTCGCACATCCCATTCTGCATGAGGTAAAAGAAAAATTCACAGTGCTATGGGAAACAGAGAACACAATGCTGCCAGACTTCTGAATGCAGACACAGATATCAAAATTATCACCTGCTTCATTCTCAGATAATTGATGACTTCCTTTGTTCCTGCATCTCCAAATACAAGATCTTGCTCAAGTTGTCCAAGTTCTCGAAGACCCACATCTCTGATGATTGCATTCAGTTTTCCAGCAATCTGAGAGAAGGACGTAAAAAATCAGCTCGATAAAAATGTTGTTAACGTGCTTGGATTGTCTTGCCTTCATAATACTTCTAAAAGGTTTTCATTTGATTAGTCTTCTGTATCACATTTAAATATTAGAATGAGTGATAGAACTCTATGTAGGTACGAGGAATCCTGAGGGAAAGCCTAAAATGTTTACATAGTTCGTAGCTTCAAGCTTCCATGATACCCAGTAAAGGGGCTTGAGGTCCTTCATAGGCTAGATGATAAATGGTTAAAGTGCTTCATTGAGTATATGCTAAGAGAGAGTGGAGAAATAATTATAAATCCTATGATGAAAGAAGCAAACCTCAACATGAAGAGAGAGTTTCTCCATTTGTTCATTGTATTGTGGTAAAGCTTGAACCATTTTCTGCAGGTCTCTTGTGGACAATTCACTACCATCTCTGCATAAAAACAAAATTCACCATCAGAAGAGAAAAACAAACAGTAATAATTTCATGAAAGGACCCTTCTGTTCTTTTGAAACTCTACTTATTTATAGAATTTGAAATTTATTCATGCATATTTTGAAACTGAAATGAGGTAGACAACAACTCTTCCGGTAAAATTCCACTTAAAATAAAGCTTTTAATGACATAACCAAAACAGAAAGTCATATTGCCTATCAGTGATCATGACAGAATGGTAAGAGTAATTGTCAAATACAATCTAAAAGAGTGTTGCATACTTTATAATCTTTTCAAATTAGTAGACAGTGGTAACTTGTCTAAACAGGTTAGTTTTGCCGTTTTCAAAGAAAAGATCTTAGCTTTGGGAAAACTTCAATTTAATATAAACTATGACATCATAAGATCTCCTCGGCTATTTCTAGATTCAAGAAATAAAAATTTCATGGGTGATGGAAAAATGTTTCTGCTCTTAAGAGACTGAAATTAAGATTCCCAAAAGATAATGGTCGAAGAAAATCAACTTCCTCAGTACAATATTACAGGTATGCTTCACTGTGGTAAGAAAGGGGGAAAATTTTGTGTGTATGAGAACCATTATCACCAACCTCTGCTGCAATTGTGCTGCTTTGTTCTTTGAAACAAAATTTGTCATCTTCTCGCTCAACTTTTCACTAGCCTAAAAAATACAAGTTTAGAAAGCATATTCATATACAAAAAAATAACCCCAAAAGACAAGGTGACGCATGAGAAATACCTCTGCTATATGAGCATGTCTGAGTTCAAGCCAGACAGGGTCATTATCTTCTAAAAGGACTTCCTTTTTCTCCGGCTCACCACCTGATTTGCTAGGAATCTTTCATCCATTATGTCATTAGATGATTCCACATATCTCAAAATAACCCCTCAAAATATAAAGATAACAAAAACATTTACCTCGTGCACATATTTGTTTCCCTCCAAATCAAGCATATCATGACACATAGCATCATAGGTCCATTCGTGAATAATTGGAGCAATCTAAAGCATCAGATTCATCATAAGTATAACAAAAAAACCTTTAACCAACAAAGGAGGTGAAAAAAATATTATTAGGAAAATAGCCAAAACCTGATCTATTGATCTATCCACTATTAGTAATTCACATGTTTCCGTTTGTGGAAAGTTAGGAATGGCTGATTTATACGTTGTAATGTTGTTCCAAATAGCAGCAGCAAGCTTTGTGGGAACTAATTCACGGGAGGTTGTCATCGTTGATGCATCATCAAGTACCTTGGCAGCTCGATATCTCACAAAAGGAAATTCCTATAGATTTAGCATCGTGTTAAGTAACAGCCCAGAAATAAGCAAATAGATGAAATAAATCCAGCTCTCATATTTTCCATACTCGCAGCCACAAATCACAATCAAAAAAGTTTCAAGATTACTTATTTTCCTGTTCTCTGCTTTAGCTTTATCTTTCATTTTCCTATATTACTCTTTCCATTTTTTAAATTTTTTATCTTCCATACTAGTCTAACCCCACGAAGCAAAAACTAGTGGAACAGAGTATTGGGTAAATCTGGAGCCTGGAGGAAGGTTAAGCTTGTCAATTCATATATCTTGTACCATACGTCTGACAACAATAGAATGGTAATAAAGTACAGCTTAGGAAATAAAAATTGATCAGAGAAGCCTGGAGTCCAATAAACTTAGGATCGATTTTGACCAAAAGAGTTTTCAATAAAACTAGGGACTGCTCGAGACATTATGATTTTTTTCCCTCTTCTGCATATTTAGCCCATGTTTGGCCCCCATTTTTTATAATGAAAATGAGAGGAATAGTGTTTTGTTGAAAAAATGAGTGGTTGAAAAAGAAGGAAATTTTTTTGATTTACGTGTAATATTATTTTATGGAAGATTGTGTGGTTGAAAATATGAGAGAGAAAAATAGAATGTAATGGAATGTAATTTAATGGGGATCAAACATGAGCTTAATGGTAATTAAATATTATAGTATAGTAATATTATTTTGTATGGATGCAGATCCAAAAGCTGAAAGAAGTTAGCCCATCGCACCTTTAATGAAGCAAAAACAGTAGCAATTCTAGTAGCCATTACATTCAAGCATGCATCAAATCTGTGAGAACTTCCAGCCTCTTTACCAAAGAGTTCTTCTAGTGCTCTTTCATGATCGGTAATAAAAGCCTGCAACCAAAATTACCGAACTGATAGAACTTCTGTCTTAATTAGGATCCATATATAAATCTGAGAGGAAACTAAGATCTAAATATCACATAAACACATCGGACAGAAACTTCTTATTACTTATAAAACATTTTCTCCATTATTATGCATTTCTAACTTCAATGCTGAAAGGTATTATCAAATTGCATCAACACAAGTGATTCATTCAATACCTGACTGTCGATAGAGAAGTACTCCAAATTCATCTGCATTTTGCCAATGGACAAGAATTTTTTAAAATTACAAAGATAACTGTAAGAATCCTCAAAGTATCTAAATGAACTTCGCTTCTGGAGATGAAAAGATATTAACCTCTCTTAATGCACCAATACGTGGTAACACACTAGTATCATTCTTGATTCGAGCAACAAGATCCTTTGGCACAGATGAACTGAAGTATACATATGCTCTGACAGAGGGATACCAAGATAAAAAGAAAATGTCAAAATCTGTAAAATCAGATCAAAGGAAGTATGATATTCAGAGAAATAATTTTTTTCACTCACTTCTTGTATAAGGGCTCTCTTCCTGACATGTCTGACAAGAACATAATGACACTGCATAGGTTTCAAACAGTAATCAGTCCCTGTCTTCTTATAAGACATTCTGAATAACTAGTATCCTAAAAACAGACAAAAAGAAATAATATATAAATGGAAATTCCTCGTGCACGGACTTTGCAAACAAATAAATCCTGAATGTGATGTGAGTGGTGGGAGGGAAAGGAAAAATAACTAATTATATTTTCTACGTATATTGGAATGCATATATCTTGCTTTCTTTTCATAAAATTAATGCATGCTAATAATAATAATAATAAAATTAAGATATTGAATGACGACCATACTTCTCCTTGGAAGGTTGAATGAAGTATATGGCATCCATTGATGGCAAAGGTTGTCTTCTTCTGAAAAGATCTTCCACCACTGCCAGATGAAATAGTGATATTAAAAAGGAGAACAATAACTGGGAAAATATTCAAGAAAATAAAAAACCTGTCTGTAAAGATGTTAAACAATTGATAGGCCTATGCATTCATGTAACGTGATTATCGAAATCATATTGCCTGAGCATCGTTAGTGCAGTAACTTAAACTTGGACGGGTAATTCAGATAAAAATATAGAATGGATAACACATCTAGTGAGAATCAAGTGAATGGATCTTGGATAATGAAACACGAAGAAGGGATATAGCCTATTTGTCATGAGAGTTCACCAGATCTGACAAGTGAGCAGAAAAAACAGAGTACATTGGAGATAAAATGCCAAAAAAGGGATTTGCTTAGGTTAACAAGAAACAAGGTGACAGGATTTATGATGTAAACATGATTGTATGGTACTAATTCATCATATGGTTCTCACATGAAATTCCTTGGTCTGTTATATCTGCCATTTTGCAGGAGTGAGACATCACTTTCACTGTGACTTTATCCATGATAAGTACCTGCACAAATTTGAGAAGTGAGGTGTCTAACTTACAAAAACTAAAGGGCTACCAGAGTAAAAAAAGCACAGTAAAATAAGTATATCAACGACATAAAATGTGATGATATGTTATTTGCTAGCAAATGTTAGAGCGTCAGAATTAATCTTCTGACACAATTTTGAATAGTTTCACGAAGTTCAAGATTACAAAAATTTTGGACTTGTGCTTGTCAACTACTCTATATGCATGAATAACTATTTATTTAATTAAAAAAAAAAAAAAAAAAAAACTAAAGTGCACATGTATAAGAAAACCAAGAATGCCTAAGAAACATATATTTTGCTCAAACTTTCCATCAATTTGCTATTGATTCGTTCAGATGCATCCTCAATATTTGCTTATTTTACCCGTCAAATTAAATTAAATTTCTATTTTACTTAGAAAGAATTCATGTGCCTTGGCATGCTTCAGAGATAGTGTCGAGGTTATTAGTCATATCTGATGTTAATTATGTTATTAAAAATGGGAGGATGTGGCCAATAGCTACCTCTTAAACAAAACATGACAATAGGATATAAAACTTACCTTCCACAACGATCTTGAATCTCCTGCTTTGGAAGATTGAAGCATCTCATACAACAGCCCTAAAAAATTCACCAAAACAATCAGTTCAAATTCTAAAAGTTATCATTTACAAGATGTAGAAGTCATCCACATACTTGTGCATGCTTAAAGGAGAGGATATGCAAAGCATGACAAAAAGAAACAAGAAGGTAGTTAAAATGAAAACTGTATACGTTTATGCATATAAGCCTTTTCCTGCTATATATAATTTTCCATTATTCATTTTGTAATCTCGAACTCTTAAACCAAGCTGCATTACAAACATGGCCAGTCTGCTGGCCAAGCCAACACCGAATCAAATATCACTATGAGGTAACCACATTTTCTCGTGGAAATTAAAGACAATGAATAGGCTATTCAAATTTTTCTCAGTCCAAATACTAAACTAGAATTACCCAAGCCCAAATCGTGTAGAATATTGATCTCTTAAATCAAACCGTTATTTGATATAACCGACTCTCTTGATCCAAACATAATTGATAATCAACCCTGATCCATATATTATTCAACAATGTGAAGCGAGAGAGGAAGGTTTCCACAGATGTGCATATCCAGTAAGCGATACAATGACGATTGCGAAATTCATAAAATCACAAGTAAAAGCGAAAAAAAAATGAAAAATCATACTACAGTTTCTCTGTGTAAGTGTTGTGAGAGACAGAGAAATGACAGAATGGGCTTACGATCGCGACTGACTTGCCGGAAAGTCTTGTACTCTCCGCCATGGGAGGACGAATCTGAATCCGAAAATGACATCTAGTTGAACTTTTATCTCAGCAATGGAGGTGAAATTTTGGATTATTTTCAGATTCTAATACAACTTTGTTCAAATGGAGAGCACTAAACAGAGAATGAAATACAAAAGAGGTAAAATGGCAGCGCGTTTTTGAAGGCGAGGGAGACTGGGAAAAGGTCGTTATGTTTGTGGGGACGCATAATTTGCTCCAACGGTGGTTACTTTTTTTATTCTAATTAACTCCCATCTTTTATCTTGTATTTGCTTTCCACTCCCTGTAACTTTTATGCCATTTTGGTATGTATCAAACAAGATGTGCTAAGTGTAAATCACAAATTTATTTACCAACAGACAATGTCATCAAATAGTTCTATTACTTCTAAATAAAAAAAATAATAGTGGTTGAATACATAATTATCGTGCAATAAATAAGGAAAGATGAATTTAAATTTGTTTAGATCTAACCTGAAAACTTCAATATTCCTCTACAAGGTTGGATTAGGGGCCTCAAGGCCGAAGAACAAATTGAAAGGTGTAGTCGATGGAATATGTGTGAATATTCATGTACTATCCCTTACTGCAACTAAGGTATAAAAGATGCTATGTACTACCCCTTATTGTAACTAAAGTATGAAAGATGTTAGGTTAGTGGAAAACTGATTATCTAAGCTTCACTAGTTTCTTGGAGCAAACATCCATTGTCTAACGGAGGAGGTAGTTTTGAGCTCGTTCCACAAACATTATATCCAATCATCAATTTCTTCCAACTTGTTCATCAACTATGGCATGTAATCACAATTCTTGAAGGACTTAGATAGCCTAAATCGACAATTTTGTCCAAATCCATTGTTACATTTGAGTTGATTGCTTCATGTCCTCCCTCATCAAAAAGCAGAATTAATTGTGTTGATTCTTACATGAAATTGGCGAGTGGTGCATCCAGTTGGCATGATCATCCTCGCTTTCTAGCTTTAGTATCTATTCAAATTATCCTCTATTATTCTCGATCTTTTCTTGTTTAACAACTATTAATTCTTTCACCTTCGACTATCTCTAACAAATCACATAATCATTGGACTTTAAGCTATCTAATGAAACACCAAGGGAATACTCATGCATGATCCAATGACGTGTACCTTTATAAGGTTCAAAATCTCCTTGTCTCGAAACATCTTCTTGGAGCCAATTATCTAGCCTTGAGAGTTGTTGATTTACGTTACTCCAATTTGACCGTCCCATAAGCCATAACCTACTTTTCTTGAAATTCTCTTCGTACCAATCTTGTACAACTTTGTGAATACATGGATAGTCTTCTTTAGAGTCTTCGTACCATTCTTGTTGATTTTTGTTTCAATCTCCCATGGATCATTGTCGCTGAAAGCGTCCTATGGATTGGCATTGTCACCGAAAAGTTTTCTTCACAATACCGTTTCTTGACAATGGGTCACCTCAACGAGGTAGAATGGGATCAATTCTTCATTGTTGGATGTCAAGGTGGCATAACAAATTATTCATTTGTTTAGTGCTTTCTCGATTATTTGAGCCTAATTGCAATGAGAAGGATTTAAAAAAATGTTCTCTCTGTCATCCTGGTTCCACTCGAAACATGTATAAGGCACTATGCCCTCATTTCGTCTCCATTTTTTCAAAATTTATTTTCAACCAATCGTTCTTCTATATAATAATATTACATGTATATCTAAAACATTTTATTATCTTTTGACCACGCATTCTTAAAAAAATTACAATTCTAAAATACATTTCTCACAAAATCACATTAAAATAAAGCCCAGTGGCTATATTTAATGACCATAATCAAAATAATATTTCCATATTAGTCACAAAAGATACTAAATAAGGAAAAAACAAAGAAAGTTAAACGAGCCAATTAGCTTCAATATTCATCCACTAATCAACGAAGATTCCTTCTACTCTGATTTAAAAAAATAAAAATAAAAAAAAGTAGAGAAAAACAAAATTTAAAGAAAAAATAGCATTCTACTCAAGTCTCTACAATTTTTAGCACAAGTCTTTTTTTAAAAAGGCAATATTATTTGTACATCATTTTGCATATAATAGTGTACAGATAGAGACACTAAAGAAGAGAAAGATCAATATCATATATCTATATACCATAACGTACACAATGATGTACAAGTGACAACGCTCTTTTTTAAATACCTATATTTACATTTAAAGATAATTAAAGAAATACGTTTTTAGTAACTACTATAAATGTAGTCGTTTCTGTTTCAAAATACATCCATCTCCTTGACACAAGTACAAACTATCATTTTCTTTCTAGAATGTATGATCGATTTTCATTGAATCACTTTTATCACCTTTTCCCCTTCTTGTTATCTTCAAGCTCTCTTCCAAGAACCGCTTCCTTTGCTTACCTGTACCAGCTTCATACCCTCTCAGCTCTCTATCCTTCTACATGAATTCTCTGATTGAATGGTCATTCCTTCATGCACCGCTCTCATTCGTGCCTCGTCTTGCACACGTAGCCTTTTGGCCCACTATGTGCTGCCATGCTATGCTTGCTCTTTTATGCACGTGAGGAAATTTTATCTCACAACTTGTTTATTGTAAGACAAATTTAATTCCACATGGTGTGAATTCCATAAAAAAATAGATTTTCAATTGATCTAATCTTAAACTAAATTAGGGTCATTTTCAAATCAACCCTCTTCCCCCTCCCAAATTTACTTTTAACCGCACATTTTTTTTCAATAAAATAATTTTACACGTGAATTCATAACATCGTCTTACACGTTAACCCCACATTTTTCCCCAAAAATATGACTTTTGAGAAAATGTATTTTCAAAAAATCTAAATCAGAATCGCACTTACAAAGAACAACTATACAGAAATGGCGGCTTTCATAGCCGCTGTTTGTCTCTCATTCTTTCAAAATTATTTTTCTACATACTTATTATCATTCACGCTATAGAATATTATACACGTAAATCCAAAAAAAAAAAATCTACTTTTTAACCACATATTTTCGAAAAATTTACTATTGAAAACAATGTTTTTTCAAAGAAGTGGCCACCAAAAGGGGGCATAGCCCCTGTTTAGGCTCAATTATTTCACATTTTTATGAGAGAAATAGTAATTTTTTGAAGAATATGTAGTTGAAAAACAGGAAAAGATTTTAAATTTGCGTGTAATATTATTTTATTGAAAAATATGTGATTGATAAGAAGAGAAAAAAAATAAATTTTAATTTAATGGGGGGCCAAAAATGGATGTCATTCTATAAAGCTCCCTACCCGCCAAGGTATAATCCCCATTTCACTAAACCCATCATTTTAGCAGATAGCACTAAAAATTTTAAAATGTGATTAGAATAAGTTATTATAGGTTTTACGGTGTAGAGACTCAGAAATTCGCGTGAGAATCAACAGATTTTTTTTTATGAGTAAGGCATCTTTCTATGGGATAATATGTAGTAATAGAAGGAATCACAATATTTAAAAGAGAAAATTGCCATTATTGTCAAGCAGGAGGTTGGAAGAGAAGACTAATAATTTGAAAATTGTCTCAAAAAACTCAAAAAAATGAAAACAGAAACGCCATTGACGGAGGCTTAACTACTAAATTTTATATGGGAAATTTTGAGGTTATAAATATTCTTTAACGATTTATATAAGCAGCAAAGAAGACTTCATGTATCATTAAAAAAATATATTAATTAAAGTAGACCTTCTAGACCACGACAAAAAAGAAAGAAAGCAGCCTTCTTGGTAGAAAACTTGTATAATTTGACCAATTCTTCAATGCTAATTATTTTGTTGAAAAAGGTAAATCTTTGTTATTATAATTAATTAATAGCTAGCTAATTCGATCGCAGTTCTAATTGTCTTCTTTCTTTATCTACTCCGCCCTTGGATTCCACCGGAGTCCTACTCCGTGCCTGATATCCATAAACCCTAACCATTTACCTCAACATTCAGGAAATTAAATTCGAACGAGAGAGAAACTGTATTTTTTCCTTATTGGGACATTTATTGTTGTAATTGATCTTTTATATTATGTATAGATCTGGGACAGTGATGGCATGGAATGTATTCAAATTCTGCACAGCCCTGAGGGGGCTGGGATCGATCATGATATTGCTGGTTCTTGGCGTTGTCGGCGTCACCTATTATGCAGTGGTGATTAACAATTATGGACCGGGACTCGAAGCCGGAGGGACCGAGGCATTACTTGCTTTTTTCGTCTTGATCTTGTTTCACTGTCTGGTAAGCTTCAGGGAATTAGCTGGATAATTTTGGAATGTTAATTTTTTTTTGGATTTTATTAGCTGTTCTGCTGGATTCGAATCAATATTAGGTCGATTTTAGTGTCTCAAAGATAGGATTCCTTATTTGATTTGTTTTCTTTAATTTGCAATGGCAAAACTAATGTGACGAAATAGAAATATAGTAAATGTACCTAAAAAATATTCAATGGGATCTCAATCTTCTGGCCAAAAATCTCATTTTAAATGAGTTATGGGATGCAATTTGATCATTCTAGCCCTAAGCCACTTTTAATTTTTAGGAAATGCGACAACCGTATGCAAAATATAACATGTAATGAAGCTGAATAATTAGTCATTGTAATGGTTATGCAGTTAGCCATGCTGTTATGGAGTTATTTTTCTGTTGTCTTTACGGATCCCGGTATTGTGCCTCCAAATTGGAGGCCAAAAGTGGATGAAGAAAGAGGAGATACCGATCCGTTGACTGCAACAGAATTTCCAGCAGAGCTGGAGAACCGGGGAATCCGATTTTGCAGAAAGTGCAACCAGTTAAAACCGCCGCGGTGTCATCATTGCTCTGTTTGTGAGTTGCCTCTTACATAGCATTTCTTAGAAATTATAGCATTCTATGATTTTTCAAGTATAATGAATTTTTTTATTAGGTGGGAGGTGTGTGCTGAAAATGGATCATCATTGTGTATGGGTAGTCAATTGTGTTGGGGCATTGAACTACAAGTATTTCCTTCTCTTCCTGGTATGATATCCCTACTTAAAATGAATAATATTGTTTTTTTTTTTTTTTAGCTTGCAGATTCTAGGATAAATGTATCTTCTTATATTTAACCTCCGTGGATGTTGATTTCTTCAAAAGGGTGCATTGATTCTGGACAGTTTGAGTGTGGCTTCTTCACAAGCTGGGATCTACTGTCCCATTGGCTTTCCAGCCAATCAAATCTCTATATGTGTCTAAACTCAAAATAAATAAATAAATAAATAAATTTAATATTTTAAAGGTAAAAAAGAAAGATAATAGAGAACTATCATCTTCTCCTCTACATTACCAACAGAATTGAGAACAGATCTAATCTGATTTTCAAAAAAAATCATCCACATCTTCACGATAAACATAGAATAATCACATTTTAAGATCTGATTTTATCATATTAAAGGAGATTTGGGAACAGATAATGGCTTTATGTGGATCTGCATTTCCAAATAAATGTAGAAGTTTTCCTCTATTTATTTATTTATTTTTCAATCATATCTGTACAATCTGTATTATGAAATAGCTTTCTCTGCAATCTGTAACCCAGTTCATTGTTAATTTTTTCCTGCAATTCCCCTGGCGAAATTATAGTCAATTTTCTGGTTCTTTGCTGTGATTTCTACAATAAGGTTTTGAATCTATTCCATTTATTTTCTGCATATCTTATCGATTTGAATTTTTAGAAGAAATTCTGTAACGAGTCTTGATTCCAGTTCTATAAATTATCAGAAGACATAATGGGCAATGAATTGAAGCATCAAACGAGTTATTATTTCTAGGTAGAAAATGAACTAAAAATGGATGATGTGGAAAATTAATATGAAGTATCAAGATTTAATTGACGGGACAGTTAATGGGGCAGCATAACTGAGACAGCAGATCTCAATTCCTTTTTCAAATCTTTTATTAGGTTCTATTTCCTGGTGGATGCTGATTATTGTTCCATTTGATATTAACTTACTCCTGGAATTCGCAAATTTATTAATTGCTTGGTGTTTAAAAACATGTTGATGTTAGATAACTGATGAATTTGTTTCGTTGTGTAGTTCTATACATTCCTTGAAACAAGTCTTGTTACATTATCATTGCTGCCACATTTTATTGTATTCTTTACTGATGATGATATACCTGGGACTCCTGGAACACTTGCAACCACTTTCCTAGCCTTTGGTAAGGTCAAAGATTCCTTTCACAAATACTTTGGTCCAGCTGCAGCTCGTGATCCTTTATTGTTTTATTCATGAATTCTTTTGGTATTGCAGTATTAAACTTGGCATTTTCTTTGAGTGTTTTGGGATTTCTGATTATGCACATATCATTAGTGGCTGGAAATACCACAACCATTGAGGTACTGTGTTAATCCATGTTTCTATAATTTAGCCTTGATGAAAAATGTCCTCTGAACAGAGTTCACTATGTACGCATAATATTCCTTACCCTGAAGGAATAGCCCTCGATGTCCAAATTTCTGTTTAAGATCTTTGATATGCTTTGCTTTCCACTGTTGAGATCAATGCTATTATATGCACTGGGTGTACATGGCTTCCAACTTTTCTTATTTAACACTTAAGCATTGCAATTCCCTTCTATTTTGTTCCCTTAGAATCCTTTAAAACATTCAAAATAGCTAGAGAACTTTTCAGTGGGTATTATTTTAGTTAGAAGGGGAGAGGTTGAATTGATACATTCTAACTGAAGTTGACTGATCCTGTGAAAGCTGTTTTCTTCTTTTACAAAGATACATTCTAACTGAAGTTGATATGGAGATTAGACTGACGTTTTCATTGGCTTTTATTTAGGCTTATGAGAAGAAGACTACTCCCAAATGGCGTTATGATCTTGGACGGAAAAGGAACTTTGAACAGGTTGGATGACTTTTGCATTTCATGTATCATTTCTTTTTTTGTCAGCGAAACCAATGCTTTTAACTTTGATTTGAAGATGAGCTCAACTATTTACATTTGAATAATTATCAAGTAGTAATATTTGTAAATACTAGTGATAAAGAAAGTACTCCTAAAGCATGCACACAGATCGTTAAGATCTCTAAATGATTCGTGCATCATATCCTTTGGGCTAAAGCCAAAATGTACAAGGTCTTTTTCAACTGCAGGCTAGCAACTTGTTATAAATTATCTTCATGGCTTATGTGAGTTTATATCTCTTCAAATTATAAACTTGCAATTTATCAGACTCGTATGCAATTAGTTTATGGTCTTACCCTTGACAAGTTCCCTTCCAGTAAAGGCCAATGTAATCTCATGTTGACTGGAGGAGATTTCACTATTCTAGGCTTGTCCATAGCAAATCCTGGGTAGGTACTTCTTTTGATAGCCAAATGCCCAACTATAGAACTAGTTTGCTTATAACACCACCACCACCAACTTACCAGGACTTGAGATCTGTGCTGCCCAATTCAATAACTCTGCTCTCTCTGGGGCTACAACCTCTAAAATCCATTGGCTTTCTTCCTTCTTCACCAATTGGTAATTTGTTTCATTTGTAGTTTGTTGTTTCCTTGCAAAACCCGCTAATTGAAACTGCAGAAAAATCTTATTCAGTTTTTGCCACCTTATTAGATTTGTGATCTTCGATGTTTGTATCTCTTTACAAGGTATTCTGTTCTGTTTAGGTATTTGGAACGGACAAGAGGTACTGGTTTATCCCAGCTTACTCGGAAGAAGATTTAAGGCGGATACCTGCTCTACAGGGTCTTGAATATCCTTCGAAGCCTGACCTGGATGCCCAAGAATTATGAGGATCGATTGAAAAGATAATTATACTAGACATTGAGCTCCAGACTAATATCATTTTTCTGCTCAAATTATTACTAATTTGGGACTGCAGAGCAATCCAGCTGCTTTCACTCTGCAGAATTACAGTTGATGAAGAACCAAAGTGCTTGCTTTGTCCAGAAGTTTCCAGATGAAATAAGTATGTTAGGAGAGCTGATGATCAGGTTTTACTAATCAATGTGGAAATTTAGTTCTGTAAGATATGGCTGATTTCCTTGTAATGGTTCTTTATATGTTTGACTAGGAATGTAGATTAATCTTAGTATCTCACTTAAATGTAATAGCGTTGTATTTTAATGATTTTTTTTTTTTAATGCATTTTTCTTTTCCGGTGTTTTGTGAAAGAATCGGGCTTTTATCTTAACCATTATATACGTTAACACAGAAGCAAGAGACTCAACATTAGCAATGCTTGGAACGTCAATGTCATTGATGGAATTGAACTTGTTGAGCCATATTCATACTTTTTGCGGTAATTAATCATCTCGTATTTGTAGTAGACATGATGATGCTACTTAACGTGTTATATGGTATAATACATGTTATTAAAGAATGGATAGAGTTGGAGAATACTAAAGAATGTTCATCATCAACGACAACTTAAAATAGTTAGTAGTTTGAGGCAATTCATGGCACCTAGTGTGAAAAATCGAATTAATTTATATGTATTACTTTAATGAAGAAACAATAACAGAAATAACTAATTCTTCTCAAATCCGTACTGTGAACTGAAATGAATAAAGTTAGCTATGCCGAATGTGAAAGACAATGTTGTGGATCTGTATGAAAAATTAGGCCCAACAAAATCTCAACCCGGCCCATATTTACATGATATTTTGGCGTTAAAAATGGCCGTTAAAAACCGAATTTCGGATTAGGCATCAAAGTTTTTCAATCCAAGTGGCTTTATTCATCAATCCAATGGTTGTGAGTGTAAATTCAATGCCAGCGCTCCCAACACTTGCTTTTGCTTCAAAATGCAGAACCCAGATAGAAATAAATCAAATGCATGCAAGTTTAATTACCACAGGGCAGTTAAAAAATCCGTGTTTGACCACAAAAATAATTCTTGATTTTGCTATTTCAAAACACGAACCCCTCGTTAATTTTGCAAGATACCTCTTTTTTACTCAAAATTGTAAAGACCATTTTATTTGGAATTTAATTATTAAATCTTATTCTCATGGAAATGACCCCGAAAATGCCTTGCAATTGTTTGCTTTAATGCTTGTGAATGGGGTTTTAGTGGATGAGTATTCCTTTTCTTTTGTGCTAAAATCATGTTCAAGGATGAGTTTAGTAAAGAAAGGTATGCAGATTCATGGGCTGCTGTTCAAATACGAATTTGGGCTGGATGTGTTTTTGCAGAATTGTTTGATTTGTATGTATATAAAATGTGGGTGTATTCAATATGGTCGGTTGGTGTTTGATAGGTTGCTTCAGAAGGATTCTTTTACGTATAACTTGATGATTGATGGGTATGTAAAATGTGGGATGGTGGATTCAGCTCGGGAATTGTTTGATTCGATGCCATTGGATATGAAAAATTTAATCACTTGGAATAGTCTGATCAGTGGCTATGTGAAATTTGAGAATGGGTTTGAGGTTGCTTATGATTTGTTTGAGAAAATGCCAGAAAGGGACTTGATTTCTTGGAATTTGATGATTGATTGCTGTGTAAAGAAAGGGAAGTTGGAATTGGCTAGTCTTTTGTTTGATAAGATGCCGGAAAGAGATGTCATAAGCTGGGCTACTATGGTTGATGGCTACGCAAAAATAGGCAATGTTGATGTTGCTAGAGGTTTCTTTGATTCTATGCCTCAAAGGGACGTGATCTCCTGCAATGCAATGATGGTTGGGTATGTCAAAAGTGGACTCTGTAAGGAAGCGCTGAGAGTTTTTCACGATATGTTAAGTGGAAGTAGTTTTGATTTGGCTCCAGATAATGTGACTTTGTTGACTGCTCTTTCTGCAATTGCACAATTGGGCTGCATTGAGGAGGGGGTTGCAATACATCGTTATATGGAAGACCATGGGTTTGTAGTGAGCGGAAAACTTGGTGTTGCCTTGATTGACATGTATGCAAAGTGTGGCAGCATAGAAAGGGCTATGAATGTATTTGAGAATGTTGATAAGAGAGGTATCGATCATTGGAATACTATTATTGGTGGATTGGCCATTCATGGCCTGGGCAATTTAGCTTTTGGTTTCTTCATGGAGATGGAGAAACTCCATTTAGAACCAGATGACATTACATTCATTGCGGTTTTGAATGCTTGTGGCCATGCTGGACTGGTGAAGGAAGGTGTACTGTGCTTCGAAATTATGAGAAGAATTCACAAGATGGAGCCTAAGCTTCAACACTACGGATGCATGGTTGACATCCTTGCCCGGGCAGGGCATGTTGAAGAAGCCACTAGATTTGTCAAGGTAATGCCCATTGAGCCAAATGATGTAATTTGGCGAACATTGCTAAGTGCATGCACGAACCATGAAAAGTTGAGCATTGGAGAGCCAGTTGCTAAGCATCTGATAGGAATAGATTCATACAATCCAAGTTCTTATATACTTCTATCGAATATGTATGCTCAATTTGGTCTATGGGACTATGTTAGACAGGTTAGGACAATAATGAAAGAAAGGGACCTAAAGAAAGTTCCCGGCTGCAGCTGGATCGAACTCGAGGGAAGTGTTCACAAATTCTTTGTTTAGAGAAATTTTTTCTGCACGAATGGACAGCGGCACTTGGATTCAGAGCTCAACATTTGTAGGCTTTGATGAGGTATTCTCTTCATGCCCGAAAGTAGCACTAGCTTCTTTCCCCGAAAGTACAATGCACACGAAAGCTAATTGACAGGGAAGGTGAAGCAAGCCAGTGCATGTAAAATCAATTTGATAATACTTACCTAATTTTTTTAAACTTGGGAGTTTGTATTACACCATTATCTTCTATATGTTATGTCTCTATTATTGTGACGCGTACAAACAAAATAACCTGTTATTGCTAAAAATAACTGAATAATTGAAAATGTGAATCTGAGTTTGCTTCACAAAACAAACCAGACACCATCCGAGTAATATGAAAGGAAGGAGGGTCTCACCTTCACCAGTTGGAGCGTTAATTTACCTACTCATATACCACCCTTATCTACCCAATAATTTAGCATCACGGTTGCATTTTTGTCTAAATGAACTTCCAAACACAGTATCTATACTCAACCGACTCCAATCCTATTGAAGTTCGTTGCATCTATGTACCAAAAGAATAAAGCCAATTGTACAATATATTTGCACAATTTGATTAACAACAAGTGTTGGAGAAATTCTGGTCATTGATTTTAAAAACAGTTTTTCAAATGGATGGATGTGATGTTTGTCAACTCATACATTGTAAACTAAGTTGTAAAATACATTGTACAAGTAACATGATTGATACCAAAAATCAGGAAAAGCATAACATTATTGTAAATTACACAACGGTACACCAATTTCGAATTTGTTGTTGAATAAATCTAGTGGTACATAATTTCTTGTACCTAAAGGTGTCCATCCTCTCATATAAGTGGACCCCACTCAAATATTTTATTCAAGCGGACCCCATTCCATGTGAGAGATAGACACCTTTAGGAATAAGAAATTATGCACCGCTAACTTGATTGTTGTTTGTTTTCGAATTGGAGTAGCACCGGAGTACGACTATGACTGGTGCTAAATTCACGAGCTACAAAAAAGGTGCTCTTTATTGTTATTTGTGTCAAAACTTTCAAACCAAAGCTTGGACTAATGGTCTTCCCACTAGGATAAGATATTAACTGGCACCAGCTCATTAGAATTACGTCATGATTTCAACATTCAAAGTTAAACAACAAAGAACAAATGAAAAATTGAAAACACGCTAGCATGTCTTCATAAATCTTCAGGGTTTATCAATTAAATATGTTATTTATGAGATTCTCCGACATCAGAAATACTACTTAGCAATCATGACAATGTCTTCATAAATCATCAAAATGAAGCTTCAGACAAGTAAAGCTTCTCGGTTGTTTACCTTGGTTTCTTTTTACAAGGAGTACTGCTACATGTACAACTTGGGGATGATTCCCATATGAGGTGACATTAAATATTAATGCCAATAAATTGAATCCCATATCCACGCATTTAATTCAAATTACCATTTTATCACACCTCAATTGCCACATCGCATGAACATAATTCCTTTATTCTTACATAAAGGGAATAGAGGAATGGAGCATGCACCTCATCGTCACTCCTAAAATAAAATAAAATAAATTTTGCCTCGGATAAAGTTGTCTTAATTTCCATCATTCATTTCTAAAACAGATTCCATATATAAAAACACGTGTCAACTGGTCATTCTCCAGTTCCCCATGGAAGATCATATAAAAATTGCACGATCAAGCTTAGCAAAATTCCCAGTTTACCACAATAAAACCAAGCCTTCCAAAAACAGAACGAAGAAAAACAGTCGAAGATTCACTAGCAACTCTCTTCCTGAAATAATAATCAAGTTACAAATCCAACTTTCCATCAGGTATCTGCTTCAGGCAACAAGTGTGCTCGCGGTGGTAGATTCACTGCAAGGGGTAAACAACTAAATGAGTACTTGCAGGAAAAATAAGAAAAACACAGACCAGTTAATTGTATTCTGAATGACGAGGAGAAATGTATGCATTTTATGAAAATGGCTATAACTCAAATGCAGCCTAGGACCCAAAAAATAAATAAATAAATAAATATTTTTTATCAAAATAAAAGCATCAAGAAACACAATGGTAGCATGACTCAATGTTTAGTATTTCTGCCTGCAACACAAGCCTTGTTTAAGAAAGGAGTTAAGGTCGTTTCTTGTGATTATTTTTCATAGTCACTGACTCGAACTATAATCAGAAGCTTTGCTCAATACAAAAGCAATGTGATCAAGCTATAACAACACTTGAAATCTCTGAATTGGATTTTATACATTTCTATTCAAGTAAATACCATATTTAGACTAGCATATTTAACAGATTATTGACAAATATTTAGCTATAATCAAAATGCAGTCCAAAAAATTTGATGAAGCTTGGGAATAAGAACACATCCAAATAAAAATCTCAGAAATGGGAATTGAACTTACTATTTCCAGACAGGTGGAAGCTTCTTTGTCTTTTTGTAGTAGCGAGCAAGCCTGTGAATTCTGCTCTCAACAAGAATCAACCTGAACTTGGAGTCTTTGTCCTTTCTGTTCCTCTCAAGATGCTTGCGAATTGCAACAGCTTTCTTAATGAGGTGGTACAAGTCCTCAGGTATCTCAGGAGCAAGTCCTGGTCATCAATAACAATAACAAGGTAAAATGTTTATATATCTGCAGAAGACACTGAAACTAGTAAGCCTATGGTGCAGAAAATTTACCATGGCCCTTGAGTATCCTCAAAATCTTACTGCCAGTAACACTCTTCACCTGTGCAATTCCATGAGAATCACGAAGAATAACACCGATTTGAGAAGGTGTCAACCCTTTCTTTGCAAACTTACAGATATTGTCTTCTACCTGAATAGAGACAGCCAAAAATATTAGCAACCAAAGTTAATAGTCTACAACAAGCCTTGGATTATCATCTTTGATTTTGCAAATTACTGTAAACATCTTTGTTCAAAGTTAAGGTTTGCAGTCTCGAACACAGAAGGACACTCGACACTGTTCAGTAATGATTGATCTAAAACCACATCAGGCTACAAGCTTGTTCTTAAACTTGTATCCAAGCAAAATCTAGAATATTGTAAACCCACTTTTCTATAATTGAAAACATTTATGCTCGCAATTGGTCTAATAAATCGCTTCCAAATTAATCCACGGATACATCAATTCAATTCATACAAGAAAGTTCTAGCTCAAGTAGTTCCGGCCGTCACAACAGACAAAGGAACAAATTAGTATGACTCCATGCCTCCATCTTAATATTTAGCTCTCTTTTCCTCCATTTATCTTTAAATAGTACCCCAAACTCAAGTCAAGGCTTATGCCTCGCGAAGAAAAGCAGTACATTTTCATTTATTACTTTTCAACTTTATGTTATCACATTAGAGCTTACTTTTAAAAAGAAATGGGCGAAGTGAGCATCCCCACAGGCAAAATTTTATTTCTACACTTCCATTAATTTTACAGAACTCGTTCACATAATTTTACTTCATTAAATTATTACTAAGCAATATGAAGGTATTGTTAAACTATTACACAACTCCATGGAATTATCAAATTAATGATCGTTAATCCCAGAAGTAACATGTATGATTCCCATTTGTAAACGTAAGTGTAATAGGATCCACATTTTGTTTCTTTGTCTATTATCTCAATAAATATAATTACTTAAACTTAGCCGATGGCGCAAAGTGAAACAGATTATTCTGGATTGTAATCAATAAAAGCGAGGGTGAAGTGCAATTACGTACATCCTGAGAAGATATCTTAAGCCAGCTCGGTGGAGTCCTCTTGTACCGAAGCGCTGATGCTGAAATACCCTTGCTGCATAACATACATTACAAAAAGAGGAAATAATCGTTATACGGATATCTTTTCATGTATGCGTATTCGTAAATTGATAGAGAAAGAGAGAGGACCCTCGGCTGTGCATACGACCCATGACGGCGGAAGTCTTGAAGGAGCCGGCGGTTGCGCTGGGAGCTGAACTACGCTTGCAACTGAGTAAAAAACCCTAGAGTGGATATGAAGATTAGAATCGGAGGGCTTTTATATAGGAGAAGATATTTGCAAATGAGTCCTTAAGGTCGACCTTATTTCTTTTTTCACCTCTTATATTTTGTCCTTTTATGTAGAGCAATGTTATTTAACCTCAATGGAAATACAATCTCAATTTAGGTGGTACTAATCTGGTATTAAATGATTGATAAGATTAAATGAGTTATTTAATTTCATCTTTTATTCAATTTATTATCTAGCGCTAGTTAGACTAGAGTTATAACACGAATAAGACTATAGTATTATTCTTTTACGTGTCTAGATGCATTAACGAATGCCTCACCATACCTTGTTTACATGCTCTAGATAAAAATTAAATTTTTAATAAATTTTAATAATATTTGATAAAATATATTGTTGAAAAGTTATGCATTTTATGAAATATATCATTAAAATTAGTGAGCTATGCAACCACGATATCAAATCTTTCATTTTGTCAGATTTGATCCAAATCTTTCAAAAATTCAAACTTAGAATCCAAATGAATCCATTTGATCGTTAGCTGATTGAAGTAGTGTCATGGCTATGACCGTTAGTTGATTAGAATAGTAGATCATTTTAAGGGATTGCACAAATGACTTATGCTCAAGTCTTTGAACTTCTTGAGTTTATCAACATCTCAAATACAACAGTTAACCTTCTCCTCCAAAAACGTATAATTCTGCAGAGATTTGTTATTTCCCCTGTTTTTATGTTTGGTGGGTTGGACTATGAACATAGTGATAGGAATAATCATATTGGTAAATCCCCAGCCATTCCGTAGATCTCTTTCGTCAAATATACTGAAAAGTTCCTCAAGAGTCCTTGAAAATGGAATATGAACTAGCAAGAGGATTCTAGACAGAAGTCAGTCTAAAACTCATGTAAAAACTTATGCTTCATAAACCCAAAACCAGTCAATTTATTTGGTAGGTGCACATCTCAATATGGCCATTCAAAAATTAAATAATCCATTGTTTACAAGTGAATTACAAGAATAGTTCAATCAGCATTAAAGGAAACGAATAGAACAAACTACACGGATGTAAGCTGTCCAGCACACTCGTAGACAGGAAGTAGTATATTAAAGGGCAACAGGAATCTTGAAACATACATAAAGCCTCTCACTTGACTGTATTATAGCAGAAAACAACGGATAAAAATAGAGATAAGACTTTGTTAAAACAAATAATCACTCTTCATCGTTCCAAGATAAGCCTCGGATGGTTGTGAAATTATTAGAATTTGAAAGTGATTTTACTCTCAAACATATAAGAACTTTCATACAAATCACTCCAAGAAGAAGATAATCATCTTCCACCAACCTGATAACGATTAACTACTTCTTTGTGTACTTATGATAATTCATTACCTCATTCTTCAAATCATGCCCTTTTGCAGGACAGACATAATACTATAACTTCCAGTTTTTCCGGTAAGCCTTCGTTTAGAACAATCAATCTCTACTCTATTAATGATATTCTGCATCAAGAAATACTAAATTGAAGTGGAAAGAATATAAAATTGAAGAATATTGCCACAAATAAAATGGACGTGACTACAAAAAGCGCCGTGATTCTCATTGTGTAGAATTAAATTCATGGAGTGGCAAAAATGGATTCATGTAATCGACCCCGTATTTTATTGGATTAAGGGATAGTTACTGGTTTATTATTGTTTTCTTGTTATCATTTTAATAGGATATAGATGATGACAAACTACCATTTTATACAAGGTGTCAAAGAGGACATGGATTAGAAACCTAATTCGATTAAGAAATCTTTTGGGCATTTAATTTCTTAACCTTCAAAACTAAGAACTTCCCAGATTTTGTCTTCACAAGCTACAAGGACAGGCTTTGACCTTTTGGTAAGCATGAAATTCAAGGCATCCCATAATTGCCAGCTTATATTTAAATCATCCTAGTAATGTCATTTAAAATGGTGGTATCTCCTTATCATTTCTCTTGACACTGTTTGTTCCTTGATAAATCACTAGACAAAAGAAAAGACATACTTTGACTAGACAAGACTTCTAGAGTACATCCTTACATGTGTCATTAAACTATAATACTAGAATTATGCTACTTATCTAGACTACTCATGGTCTTTTGAGTGTCAATTAAGGGGCATTAAGTGATTGACCTCTTAAATCCAAGTATATGGGTCACATTTAAGATGTCTCATCACTTAACACCATGACAGATTTCCTCTAATACTAATTTGATTCGGAAGAAGTTCTCGCTTAAATGAGGTCAGACTCGTCCAATGTAAGCATAATCCTACACACATGAACATGCAAATAGAAACCGAGAAAGATCCTAACAAATATTAATTCACAAAGATCAAATAAGATTCATTACCTATATTAGCACAGCCAGGATGAGAATCAACCTAATGGATTCTAAAATTGGCAAAGGCTAAAAGCAGCAATAATTTGATCAAGATAGAGCTCTTACATTAATTGAGAAAAAGTTAATCTCATAGTAGAAGGGGCGACAGAGTCATAAACACAAGAACGACCCATCAAGATACATTAACCTAATACACCGGACTTTACAGAAGCAGTTATTTTGCAACAAGTGAAATCGAAAATCATATATTGAATCTACATAGAGAAAGCATGGCCAAAGTATCTATGCTACTTTTATTTGATTTTCATATATAAGATATAGATCCATCAATCAGCAAATAAACTGAATTAGCAATGATGCTACAATGGTAACACTACAACAAATACACGTCTATGACAGAACAAAAGTTGGTCTTGTCTTTTGATACGGATAAGACTGCCCCAGCAAGCAATGCTCACCGACCACAAAAACTTCTTCCTCATGGATCATGAATTCCTCACATAAAATCAACAAGATAAAACAAGGTAACTGGACAACAAACGATAATAGGTTAAAAAATCATAAGAATCAAAATGAAATAATTGTCATTGCGCGCTTTTCTTCTCGTTACCATAGTACCTGAGATACCACCGAACGAATTTCTTCAACCCCGTCTGCAGATCTGTTGTGGGCTTATAGCCAAGCTCATTCTGAGCCAAGCTGATGTTCGCGTGTGTGAACTGCACATCCCCGTTTCTCGACAATTTCATTAGCAATCGCTTCGCCTTCACCTTGAGTAATCTTTCCAAAATGCTCACAAGATATGAAACTGGTACAGGAGATGTGTTGCCCAAATTGTACACCCGTAATTGAGCTAGCCCTTTCTTCTTGCCACCGCTACCAGTGCTCTTCTCAACAATATCCAATGCTGCTAAACAACCCTTTACAATATCGTCAATGTAGGTAAAGTCCCTCGCAACTGTACCATGATTGGCTGCCTCAAATATAGGAATTGAGTTTCCCTTCAAAATCTCCCTAGTAAAAAAGAAATATGCCATGTCTGGCCGACCCCAAGGTCCATAAACCGTGAAGAACCTCAATCCAGTAAGTGAAAGTCCATATATAAGATTGTAAGTATGTGCGATCTCCTCACCAGCCTTCTTAGTAGCGGCGTACAAGCTAGTAGGCTGGTCCGTTCGATCCCTCTCTGTAAAGGGCACCTTGGTATTCAATGTTGGGAATCTACTTATACATGCACAGCGGAAAATTAAAATTATTTCGATTCCGACCTAGGATCCCTTTTTGTTTAGATAGAAATCGTAATAAAGATTGTACCTTTGAAGAATTCTGCAAACCTTTTGCTTTTCTTTTCGTTCCAGCAATCTTGATTTTCCACCCACAGCTGTCCAATTGTCCAGTCTCCAACGGTGATTCACACAGAGAATAAGATTACAGCTACCAGGGTTTTTCTTCTTGTGCCAGCAAGAATAATGAAAACCATATGGATCTCAAACCCTAGCTATATATTTATGTAAGTGGAAATTACACTGCTACGGGTATTTAAACTTCATTCTGCAAAAGTCGGGTGCAAAGATTATTTAATCAAAATTCAGGTTTGAAATTAATAATTAAAAATATATATCTACAAACCCTAGGCTAAATCAATTTCCCTCTTTCCATTCTCTCCCATCTCTCTCGCTACCCTGTCCGTTGAACTACCGGAGTCCACCGCCCACATCAAAAATCCACCGCCTTCAACTACCGGAGTCCACCACCGCCAAGAGCACTATTGTTGGTGCTAATGTAAAGAAGAGGAGATGTCACGACGAAGATATACCAAGCCGTCGAGCAAATCCACTGCGCCACCAAAAATTTTTCTTTTGCGAATCATCGCGAGTTGCAGTGGTGAAATGACGGTGGCGGCGAAGCAACATCTTCACAGGAGAAGGTACCAGTCAGCACGAAGTAGATTCACTGTACCACCGCGAAGCAGACTCACTTCAGCGACTATTCACAGGCGAAGCACTATGCCAACTTGGTGTTTTGTGGTGATGGTGTAGTGTTTGTGTGGTGGTGGATCTGGCAGTTGTGTGGTGGGTTTGGATGGTTTTTCTTGTGGTGGTGGTAATGGTGTTTTACATGGTGGCTGTCTTGTGGTGGTGGTGGTGCTAGTGTAGTGGAGGCGACGATAATGTTGGTGGTGGTTGTGGGTGGGACGGCGTGGTAATGGTGCGGTGGAGGTGACAGTTGCATTGACGGTAACGTTAGTGGCGGTGGTTGTAGGTAAGATAAACTGGGGTAGGGATGTTTGTTAGTGTTTGTGACTGTGTTGCAGGTGACCACGGTGGTGGTCGGCAATTTTTTGGTGGTGGTATTGGTGTTGGTGGCGATGGTGACGGGGTGAGGGCGATGGCCAGTGGTGGTGGAGGTGGTGGTGGATTGGATTGGGTGCTTGGTGTCTGTGACCAACTATTCAGTGCCTGTGACTAACTATTAATCCGTAACTTTCAAATTCGATTATTTTGTGACTAAAAAACTAATCTGTGACCATCAAATTTAAAAATATGTGACTTGTGACCTATAATTTTTTGAATTTGTGACCAATAACATAAATTATGACCTATAAAATCGTTAGATAAATTGTGATCTGTGACTTTGAAATAATTTGTGACC